AAGCCTGTGAGGCCATCGAGGGAGAGGGAAGGGGCAGCCTCACCCCGGGAGCTGGCAGTCCCCACCTTGGCATACTGGTGGCAAGTCACCTCACTGCCCGTGACTGACCTCTTGTTCCCTGGAGCCCTGTCCTTTCCCCTCCGGGTGAGCTGACCTGCAGGAGGAAGCTGGGATGTGGTCTCCCATTTCACTCGAGTGTATCCCCCTCCCTCTTACCTACAGTCCCAGCTGGTAGAGCCGGGTCCCTCTCCTCTGTACATACTCCTGTTGTGTGGGAATTGCTGATGTTTGTTGGTGTGTCCGTGTCTGCCGTAGACCAGGTTTTGCTGTCCCCTTCTCACAGGCAGGCGTGTGCTGCTCTGCTGTTGTGTTGTTCTGAGTCACGGACCTGGGGGAGGGAGGGGGGAGACCCTAAGTAATGGGGGAGGGGGGGTGGGGAGGGAGGGTAACTAGTGAAACAAAATAGTTCATTTCCCACTGTCTTCTCTATGGATGTGTATAATATTGAGTGTGTGTCTGGCCCTGCTGTCTCCTAGCTGTTAGCCGAGTAAGTGTGACTATTAATATGAGTATGGACTGTCTGACCACAGCTGTGTATCACACTAAATAAAGTTATTTCACCAACACCTTTGCTGTCCTGCTGCCGGAGAGGGGCCTTGGCCTATTTGTTTTACTCGTAGGCTTAACAAGTCTGTCCCGCGTAGGTTATGGTGGAAGAAGGACGAGCTTACCGGCCCTGAGCGGGGCTTGGAGAGGGGAAGGAGAAGGGAAGGGCTTTAAACCGGCCCGGGGGGCGTGGCCCAGCCGTCCGTGGTGAGCCATCCCATTGGCTGTTGCCGGGAGAGGGCGGGGCCGTGTGAGGCGCGCGGGTGAGCAGCGGGGTCCCCTCAGGAGGGGCCTGAGGGTGTCGGGGGGGGGTGGGGGCGGGGGTGGGGGCGCGCCACCTCCCCTCGGCAGCGACCTGCCAGGCCGAGGGGGCTGTCACCGGCTCGGAGACCCTGCGGGGCGTTGACAGCCCCTCTCCACTCGAGGGGGTGTGACGGGATCCCCCTCCCCACGCCCTCGTGAGTCCCTCTATCCCCTTGGGGTGCAAGGCGTTTGGCGAGCTCGAAGGCAGTGTTCGGCCTTGCTGTCCACAGGGACCACCCCTCCCTCCCGCAGGCACGCCCAGGGAGGGGTGGGGGGGCCTGTCCTGAGCCATCGGCGCTCCCCACAGTGCCGCATCGACATCCCGGACGTGCCGGCGGAGATGGTGAACGATGTGCTGCATGACGCTGAGTATTGACGGGAGCAGGACACCAGCGTCATCGACACCCATGACATCGCCCAGCTGGCTGCCAGTGCTTGTGGGGGCTACCACGCCTGTGAGTGGGGGCTGGAGACCCAAGGGGGACAGGGGATGGGATTGGTTCTGTTCCACCCAAGTCTTGTCTTGTGTTAGAGGGGCCAGCCTGTCCAGGCTGCCTGGCAGGAGAGAGATATTTGGGGTACGGGAAACCTCTTGGGATCTCTGCTACAAGAGGTCGGTAGCACCAGTGGGGCTGAGAATTGGTAGGATCAGTGCTTGGAGGAGATGGTGAGATCACTAGATGAACTAGAGAAAGGCATTCTGGCCAGGCAGAAACCTCTGCCCATCCATGCAGACCTCACACAGTGTTCAGACAGTGAAACAACTTTCTTTCCTCCTTGTTCAGGGCTGTGTCTGAAGCTGTTGAAGAACAGGGATGTGGTGATGCTGTGATCCTGGCAGGTTGAGGATGGGTATCACACCATTATCAACTTCTCTGTCAAACACCTGGTGAATGAAGAGCGGGCTGGGCCCGAAGTCTCTCCCGTTGCAGTGATCCTGTGAACTGGAGCATTCTGGTAAGGGCAAAATGCTGTCCTAGGGTCACCAGCTGCATGAATTCACCTGAATTAGGACTCTGGGATGGTCTGTTGAACAGTATACAGTGCTGGCTCCCTTCAAGCTGAGCTACACCTAGTCTGTGACAGCATCTCAGGAGTGTAGCAATCTACCTAGACAGCAAGATCCTACCTGTGCCTGGGACAAGCTGGGATCCCAGAGCCCCTAGCATGTAGCTGAGTAATTTCTTTACAAGTTCCTCAGCTTGAGGCAGCTCCTCTAGCCTAGTTCTTGCCCTGTGCTTTCAATGCCAGACCTGAGAGAGGGAGAGGGTGGGGAAGATGGAAGACAGCATCTGTCTGGTGTGTCTGCACAGAAATACCCCCCACGTAAGGATCTGATAAGTCTCTTTGCTGATGGGATACCTGGTGCATTCAACTGGGCCTAGCAGCTGCAGGCTGCCCTGCCTGGCTCAGGTGGATCCAAAAGTTTAATTCTGGTTCTGTGGGCCTTGGGATGTGGTCATGCAAATTCTGGCCTCAGTCAGTAGAAATCCTTCTCATAAATCTGAAGCGCACCTGTGTAATGTGGCACTCCTGTTCCAGACCCTCTTTGGCAAGCAATGATGCTAATGCTGCAGCTTGCTCTGGGGGCTGTTGGGCAGCTGTTAGGAGCAGAACCATTTTCTGGCACACTAACTTCTGTTCCCCCCCCCCTCCCCCCCCCCCAATCTATTAGGTTGAGTTGTAAATAAAGCTCCCCAGTACCTGGCGCCACAGGTGAGTGGAGCGTTTCCAAGGCGTATGTGCCAAGTCCCACCCCAGTGGCTGGAGCAGAGGGCTGCAGAGCATGGGCCTCCCTCGCTGTGGGGCTGCTCTACGGACGGGCCTCTCAGCTCATCCCTGGTGTGGTGTTACATTCTGCCAGCCTTACCAGCTGACTGATTCATTTCCAAAGCTAGAGGGATATGAATAATATGACTCTTGTCTCTGCTTGTGCAAGAACCTGCCTGACCCCCACTTTTCATGCCCTGTCTGAACAGGATCTTGAAGCTTGGTAGCTTTTGGAGATCCTGAACTGAGTGGCAGGGTCTCTGCAGGGTCTCTGGTGCCAGAGCAGGACAAGGACAAAGGCGTTCAGTACAGGAAGTTTAATTTCACTCTCCTAAAGCAGCTGGCATCATCAGGGGATCTGGGCAAGCAGAAGATGGTCCCATCAAGGACTTAAATTAGCCTTCAGCCTTTCTCTCTAGTGGGTCCTAAGCCCCTCCTAAGCAGCCAGGAAAGAAATGGAGTAGGTGTTAGTAGTGGCTAGATGAGACATTGCCAAGACTTTTTCTAAGCTTCCATGGTTATTGCCTCTGTGCTTTTCCTCATCAGATGTTAAAGAAACTGCATGAGGCCTGCATGAAATACTCTGCCTGGAAGCACCAGCACGATGCAAACATGAAACCCTGGCTGTACCCTAGGCAGAACAAGCTTCCTCTCTTGGCACTGCAGCATGTCACCTCACTGGAGAACATCAATGAGAGCGGCCTGTCCAAAGTGATGGACAAGGGAGGTGACCACAGCGCTTCAGAGAGCTGATGCTGCTAACATCAGTGCAGGGAGGAATGTTATGTGATGCTGCTCAGGCACATCCAGTGGTTATAGTAAGGTGGAGGGGAAGCTCTTGAAGGAAATCTCTGAGTTTGTAGCCTTTTCTCTCATCTCATGACATGACTGTGGAGCCAAGGACAGCAGCCCCACTCAGCGCTGAGACTGAACAATCAGGAGCACACAGGCCGCCTGGACAGACCTGGATGAGTTATGCTCAGGGACAGCAGCTGTACTGTATGTTTCTCAGGTATAATCTGCTGTGCCTTGACACAACACAGCTCGTTCTGGGGCTGTTCTTGTTCCAAAAGGTCAGGTTACCTGCAATGCAATTTGCTTCCCTGGCCAGGGAGTTATTCATTGACAAACTAAAGCTGTTCCAATGCTCGTGACTCTTGGCCTCTATCTGGCAAGTTGCTAAAAAAATCCAACATTGCTGGACCTGTTTATTTTCCCAGCAGGAATCAGTAACTACCCCTGTTTGTCCCTCCAGTTCTGGAGGATGAAATGGACTCTGGTGACCAGTACAAACCCTGTTACTGCTTTGTCAATTGAGATATCCAAGACATGAATGTGTCTTGAGAAAGAAGCCACACTTTCCTGTTAGCCCACAGCCAGTCACGGGGGCAGCGCGGTGGCTGCAAAGGCACCCCACTAATTATCTCTGAGTAATGGCAGGGAGGAAGCAGCCCTGGGGGAGGGGGGGGGGGGGGAGATCTTCTTGGAGCTGCTGCAAGGGACTGCTCTGAAGCAGGAGTAAGATGGAACGTTGAGGTTGTATTTGTCCCCTGAGTAGAGTTCAAGGTGCCTCGGTGCCTCGGCAGTTGGGTTGTGTGCCAAAAACCTGAGGCTTGCATTTGATCACTGTACTTTCCACCAGGCAGAGCACAGGGTTGCCTTTGGGGCCAGGGACTGGCCACTGAACCTTCACCCTGGCACGTCTGAGCACAACAGAGAAGGGAAGACAGAGCAATATGAAACGTTGCCTTGCTGCAACCTGAGCATCCTTCTTCCCCAAAGAATGTGTAAATGCTGTGAGGTTGGAGAGGCGAATGTCCCATGGGCCACAGAGGCCTGTCTGTGTAGAAGAGCTCTTCTCTTCTCAGGGTGTTACAGTGGGGCTTCCAGGATGATTATTTCCCTGGTAGAAAAGCTAATTTTTTTTTATTCTGAGTGAAAGTCTCTTTTCTAACATATTTTATTCTGCTTCAGCCTGCCCAGCGGCTGAGCTACAAGCAACCTGGCTGGCTGTGCTGAAGTTGTGTCAGGGCTGCTGCTCTTGGCTGTCTCAAGCAGGCTGCCACCACAGATAAAAATCTTCTATTGCAGCTCTTACTCCTGGCAGTGCTGAAACACCACTCCAGGCTAATCAAGGGCTGACTTCCACTACCATCAGTGGAAAAACACCTTTAAAACAGAGCAGGACCTCACGTGGGTCCCATGCTTTCCTCCCACAGGCTGCAAGGGCAACTGGAGCCAAGCTCTGTCCCAGCTGTCTGCCCAGCCTTTCCCTGGGGTAGTGCCCTCCACAGAGACTTCGTGAGTGGGAATAAGATAAATTCTGGTTGCTGTATTCATTTTATTATTTCAGTTATTACAGGTAAGCGGGAAACACCACGCAGAAGGCCATAGCAAGGGCTGTCCTGATGCCATTAACAATGTGATACTACCATGCATTTGTACCCAGCTTTGCCAATAATGATTATGTTTTCACCTGTGCTCTCCCAGCATAGGACACAGCAGGCTTCCTCCCCTTTCTTGGAGTGGAGCAAAGGGTAGAAGTCTGAGAGCGGTGGGGAGTTGTGGTGAGAGCACGTGACAGGGACAGGGCTGTGCCAGGTGAAGGAAGCAGGTTCAGCGAGCACAACCCTTAACAGTGCAAGCACCACCCCGGAGGAAACCTGGCCAAGGGCCCACAGCAGTTCATAAACATGCTCCAGGCATCTTGCTCCTGGATCCTGGGGGTCATTAGGCAGCAAAGAGTTACAAATGTGCCTCAGCAGACTAGTGCAGCTAGAGATGTGCACTGAGTTCGAGTGGATTTTACTCTTGTTCCTTGAGTCCCAAGCAAACCCAGCAGTGTAGAGCAGAGGTAGGACAGTGGAGAAGGAAAGAATTTCATGTCACCAGAGAAGTGAACAGGTTGATCTCTTGGAGGACAAAGGCCATGCTCTGCTCAAGGACACTCGGTCCCTCTTGGCCTTACATCCTAACAACCACCAGCAGAGCACTCCTTTAAATCCTACTAGAAGAGAAGCACAGATCTTGCTGGAGAAGCTGCCCTCTGGTACCCACTTCCACATCAGCTTGTTTCAACACCCAGTTCCAGGAGTACAGACTAAAGCCCCATCCATCTTCCAGCTAAATAAGACTCTGTTGGCATCCCTCCATGCAGGAAGGGGAGCTGATGCCTGTGCAGCCAACAGGACAGTTTTATGTCCAGTGACAGCTGAAACTTGATATGTCATCTCAAATGTTGAGGAAAAGTAGTGGAGAATTTTTTGCAGGACAGCCACTCTGGAGATCCAGCAGACAGCTGCCTACTAGTGAACAGTTCTTTCCTTCTGTCTCTGGTAATCTGGAAGGGAAAGAGAAGGCAAGGCTGAGAGAGTAGGAGAGACAGTCGCTGGTGGCAAGGGGGAGTTAGCCAAAATGTTAAAGGAAAACATATATTTTGTTTATACCCCACTAAGTAGAGGCAGTGTGTGCTACCCTCTTGGGTAGCACCTGGTTTTAAAATAGCATACTCACATCCCAGCCAGTCATTTCAGGGCATTAAGAACAAAAGTTTGTTTAAAGTCCTCTCTTCCTCTGCTCCATATTTTTCTTTTCTTCACTTAATGGTCAGTTCCCATCTTATGAGGAATCTTGTTTGGCTTCATTTGACCTCTATTTTTCCCCCCCAACCCCCTTATATCTATGAACTTTACGGATGCAGAAACCAATAGAGTCTTTTCCCTCAATCAGAATTGAAACATTCTTAGGGAGGGATAAAAACCACAGGCAGTGTCCACCATTGGCATAGCTCCACTAGTGACAGAACTAATTCCTGTGTTTTTCCAGGGTAAGTAGCTGCTTCTACAGCTAAAGTTAACGTTTCCATCCAACAATCACCCCACCTTTTAGCAATGAGTCGCTAAGCCCTTCTCTACAAGTTTTCCTATGTGGGCAGCTGAAGCCAGTTCTTACCATTTTGATTTCGTAGCTGTCCTGATCCCCAAATTAAAGCCCAATGTTCTTTCTGATCTGCAGGCTTAACACTGCATACCACCTTAGATTCATAACCGCTAAGCTCAGGTGGAATCGGCAGGGACACATGGCAGTCTGCAGTCTGCTTCCCAAGGAGAAATGCTGCTAGGTGACTGGACTTGGAGCTAGCAGGCACTTACTGTAGGGGAAGTAACGCACGCGCATGGTGATTTCACGGGCTGTCTTCAGGATCTCCACAGCCTGAAAGCAGAAAGAGTCACTCAGTGACCAGACTGGGCTGGAGGATAGGAAAGAGGAACACACCAGTTAGGTGGTGCCATCAGCTGAGTTGGTGCAGGCTGAGAGGCCGGAAGGAGATGGTGTGCACAGGGATTCTCCATCCTGTCCCTGTTCCAGCAGCTGGGCTGGCAGGAGTGCTCACCTTGCTATGCTCAATGTCCTGGAAGTCCACATCATTCACCGAGAGCACCTGGTCCCCTTCCTGCAGCCCAGCTCTGTGCGCATCTGAGTCAGGGATCACCTGAGAAGGGAAGAGCAGAGACAGCATCAGTGATGCTTGACTTGGCCAGCACTGCGGCTCCCCTCCCACGCAGCCACGGCAGCCCACCCCAGAGCCGCCCCATGGTGCCCACCCAGCGTGCTCACACGGGACTGGGGAGTATGGGGAGTGGGGACTGCAGCACACCAGCAACACCCCGTGGGCTGGGGAGAGGTCAGAAAATGGTGCAGGACTGTCTGATTGCTGCTTGGTGCGTGGTAAATTACAGCTGTGAGTTGAGAGATGCATATAAGGCATATGACAGTCTCCCTGCACACCCAGCTGGCTCAGCAACACCCAGGGGAACAGACAAAGCACAGGGAGGGAATGGCAGAAGGACTGACACACCTTAGAGATGAAGATCCCCAGCTGCGAGGCTTTTCCTCCCCGGATGTTGAAGCCCAGCTGTGAGAGAAGCCAGCAGTGAAATGCAGTCACCCCCTCTGGCCCAGGACCCTTCCCACTGCCAAGTGTCTCCTCTGGTGCTGCAGGGTTCAGCCAGTCCCTCCCTGCTAACCTCTGTGGCAATCTCACCTCAAGCACCGGAGGGGCCCCCCTGTTCCCTGCCCTTTAGCAGCTCCACATCACAAGATACCGTAATTCTCTGCCTCACCCACAAAGTTTTTTTTCTCCCTCTGTGGCACAGCCCTTCCCAGCAGGGCAGGAGCGATGCCCCCCCGTCCCACTGAGGAAAGTACCCGGAGCCTGCCCTACCTCCCCTCAGCAGTTAGGAGCGTGCTGTCAATCCGGGATTACCACAACCCCGCAGCTCGGCCGCTGCACCAACAGATTTTTATTTTTTGGGGGGCCAGGAAAGGCATTAGGAACGATGGCCGCGAACCAAACCACGGGAAACGCCACGCCGAGGGCACGACCGGGCCGGGCCTGCAGCTCCCCGCGGGGCTGCGCGGCTGGGCCGCAGCGGGGGTTTAGCGGGGTCTCACCTGCGCCCCGGGCGGCTTCTTCAGGACGACGGTGCGGGGCAGGAACTGGGTGAGCTCGCTGTTGTAGTCGGGGTGGAACACCCTCTGCAACGCAACGCAGCGGCGCCGGCGGCCGTCAGGCAACGGGACCCGCCACACGCCGCCCGCCCCCGTGTCCCCCCGTCCCCGCGCTCACCTCATGCGGCGGCACCCAGGCGGGCGGGCTCTCGTAGGGCGGCAGGAAAACCACCGGGAAGTCGTCGTAGGGCAGCCGGCCCTCCATGCTGCCGCGCCGCCCGACGGGACCCGCCCCGCCCCCGCGCCGCGCGCCCTGACGCGCCGCGCCGCGATTGGCGGGCGGCGGCGCGCGGCCGCGGTTTGAATGTTGGCGGTTTGGGCAGCGAGCGCCGTCGCCATCACAGCGGGCAGCGGCCGCTCCAGGTGGGTCTGGTGCTGCCGCCGGGCTGGGGCTCCGCCGCGCTCCTCCCTTCGCCCGGGGTGGGGTGGGGTGGGGTGGGGTGGGGGGCGCCCCTTCACCCGCCGGCGCTAGGCCGGTAGCGGCTCAGGCGTAGCTTAGGCCGCGGGGGGTGTGGGCCGCAGCGCCGGGCCGGTAGATCCCGGCAGATCCCGGCAGCCGCGGGCGCGGCTTCCCCGAGGCCTCACCGCGGCTCCGCTCCTCCGCAGGGTGGCTACGGTGGCTGAAAATGGTGAGGGAAGATGAGAAGGTGATCCCGGTGCGGGTGGCGCTGCGCTGCCGTCCCTTGGTGCCGAAGGAGACCAGCGAAGGGTGCCAGATGTGCCTGTCCTTCGTGCCGGGGGAGCCACAAGTAAGGCAGCCATCCCCCTGCGCCCGGGGCTCGGCCCTGCCTCCCCCCCGGCGTGTGCTGCCGCGGCAGCACGTTCAGCCCCGTCTGTCTCCTCCGCAGGTGGTTGTAGGTAATGATAAGTCGTTCACGTATGACTACGTGTTCGACCCGTCTGTCGAGCAAGAGGAAGTCTTCAACACGGCTGTCAGCCCTCTCATACGAGGCATTTTCAAAGGTTTGTGGTAACAGAGTTCAAGTTCTGCTTTAAAATACTGGGGGTTTCTGTGAGCTCAGCTGTGCAGAAGAAGGTGCTATTTAATTCTCCATTCTGATGCGCTCTTTCTTTGATATTCTCAGAAAATAAAACCCTGTGCTAACTAGATACTGACTTGAGCCTCTAGTGAGAAGTGCCAGATCTTGCCTGTTTATAACCTGTTGTACTCCACAGGGCTAACAAAATGACTTGGGTGTGTTCTTTGGGTCATTTTGGCTCATGAAGGTATTTATGTAAGGCAAGAGATCTTTGTCAATAATTGCATGATGAATTGATAAGTATCCCATACCAGAAGCTGTTAGGTATGCTGCAGTGGAGCTGTGATGACAGAGAACTTACCCTTTGTTTCTATGACTAGCTCTAGTAAAGCAACAGTGCAGACTTAAGGAAGAGCTGGAACAGTAACTTTATCTGTGTTTTGAGGAGCTTTTCACTGACTTTTTTCTCCTTGATGTTGCTAACTGTGCATAAAGTTTGTGTAAACCGACAGCAAGGGGCAGTGCTTTTTCTGAAAGAATGCATCTTTGTTCCTCAAAGTTTCTTCTGGTTCCCATGTGACTGTCTGATCCGGGCACCCTTTGTTCCCTCAGGGTATAATGCTACTGTCTTGGCCTATGGACAAACAGGGTCTGGAAAAACGTACTCCATGGGAGGTACCTATACTGCCAATCAAGAGCATGAGCCTAGTGTGGGGGTCATCCCTCGGGTAATCAAGCTGCTATTTAAGGAGAAGGAGCAAAGGCAGGATTGGGAATTCATCCTCAAAGTTTCTTATCTAGAGGTAAAAGTTCTTTTGACTTTTCAAACTATTATAAAGTTATGAATTAGAGATAAAGTGAGTTTTAATGAGGCCACCTCCTTCAAGTAGTAGGTATTTATTAAATCAAAACCTAAGACTACATAAGGTCTTGTCAGCAACTGGATTCTGAGTCCTAGGTATCTTTCTCTAAAGGTAAAATGAATTGAATGTCATGCAGAGTTAGTCGTGATTTCAGCGTAACCACACATCTTCGTGTGAATTGTTTTCTTGCCAGGCTGCTAACTCTGAACTGCTGTTCTGATGCTTTCAGATCTACAATGAGGATATTCTGGACCTGCTGTGCCCATCAAAAGAACGGTCTTCTCAAATCAATATACGGGAAGATCCAAAAGAAGGCATAAAGGTCTGTTGCCCTGTTAGATATAGGTACATAAGAGGGTGACGTGGCTAAGGATGAATGTTTTGATGAAACAGCTGTATGACTTCTTAACACTGCTTTATATCTGTGCATATGAAACTGTCACGACTACTCATTCCTCTCAAATTTGAGCTGTTGATGATCCTTACGTTTACTTGGAGTAACACCAGTAATGTTAGATGTTCATGACAAATCCACTTGCAAGTGCTATTCTTACTTTTTTCTGAAGGCTGATTTAGGTGAATATCTGAGAATGTTGTACTTTGGGTCCCTTTACCAAATTTCAAACTCTTTTGCAATTTTACTCTTCAGTTTGGCAAGAAGTAGCGTGCAACAAAGAGATCCTGTGGGGAAACCATTACTTCTACTGCTAAGTGCCCAAGTTATTTTCTTAGCAGTTTTGTACAGATGTGTGTTCAGAAAACCCTTGTGCTGCTGCTTGCTCTGTGTACTTGTTTTATAGTTAAACTTCCATCTGTCGGTCGTGCTTCATGCATACTGTTTCAGTTTGCAGTGGTGGGTGGGTTGTTGGTTGTCATATGCACAGCTTAGGTGTGCGTGACACCTGTAGCTTTGATCCATTAATGTTTTTGTTGGGTGTAATCTTGTGCAGCTCACTGTCATCTCTAAAGTACAGGGGTGTGACTCATCCATGTAGTAAGTGCCATTGTGATCCAGGGAGACAGACCCTTCAAGGAAAGCTCAAGCTTTCCAAGAAACATGATCAGTCGCTACTACTCAGACTGCTCTGTCCTTTATGCCCCTAACACCTGCCTCTCCTCCACTTATTCACAAAAATACCCCACTCTGTTCAGCCAGTTTCCTCTTTCTCTGCATATGACTGGCGTAACTTTCAGCTCCCAGTTTGGCCAGGGGGTATCTAAGGGCAGCTAGGGATTTCTCCTCAGACCACTGAGGTGGCCTGTCTCCATTCCATCAGCTCAAGCAGATGCAGAGGAACTTCGTGTGTGCATGTAGGAAAAGGATGAGGGAGAGTTAATGTGACTTAATGTTACTGATAAGAAGTTCAGAACAAATTTTTGCTGGGGGAATCCATACCAAGCCTCTGGCTTGAAGTGAGACTCTGATTCTTGTGAATGCATATTTACACAGAGACTTTGCTTTGTCTGCCGTGGTCTAAGATGGAGGATAATTTTTCTGATGTAAGGTGGGGTGAAGAGGGAGAGGTTAAATGATGCTTTCTTCCTGGTTACAGATTGTAGGGTTAACAGAAAGAAATGTCACCTGTGCCCAAGATACTGTATCCTGCCTAGAGCAAGGGAACAACTCCAGAACGGTGGCTTCCACAGCAATGAACTCCCAGTCTTCACGGTCCCATGCCATCTTCACCATTTGCATTGATCAGAGAAAGAAAAATGACAAGTAAGTGTGATGGTGCTGCTGCTTCTAGCAGCTGTTAAGGGTCAGACTTACTCAAAATTTAATAGTCCTGTCATTCTTTCTTGGTCTTGGATGAACTCAGCTGAGCTACTCTTGAGGCAGTTCCAGTATTTGGCTGCCTCTGATATGAAGTATTTTTTTTCAGCCCAGTAGCTCAACTGTAGTAACCACTGGACTGCTCCTTTCCTAACTGCATGTTTACTTGAGAGAATAAAATAGTTTATTTCTGCCGTAGGAACAGCAGTTTTCACTCCAAGCTACACCTGGTTGATCTTGCTGGCTCGGAGAGACAAAAGAAGACTAAGGCTGAGGGAGACAGATTAAAAGAAGGTCTGTAGGAAAAGGACTGGCATAGCTTGGGTTTCTTACCACTTCTGAGATAATAAATTGAGTCCTTGTCAAGAAAAGCAAAGCAGTTCCTTAATTAACCCTTACAATGTGGGTGGGTTTTTTTTAATCTTCTTAAATTTTTCAATAAGGACAAGAAATGACCAGTTCCTAGCTGTTGAGGTGGCTCTACTCACTGTTATCTGTTTGTATGCAGGGATCAACATAAACAGAGGTCTCCTCTGCCTGGGGAATGTAATTAGTGCTCTTGGAGATGAAAACAAAAAGGGTGGGTTTGTCCCCTACAGAGACTCAAAGTTAACGCGACTGCTGCAAGGTAAGAGATGGATAATGATAAAGCCTAGATCTACAGATGTACTTTAAATAACAAAGTAGCAAGAAAAGCAAACAGCCATACAACCACAGTTCAAAGCAGTAGCTGCTGTTGACAAAGGAATTGCGCTTAGTGGCTTACTTCCTCTTCTCACTGGAGCTAGACCTCTTCTGTGCTCTTCTTTTTAGGTTGCAGATGCATTGAGATGGATTCATTTAGGAGTCCTGCTCTTTTGCAGTTCTTATGTGATACAAGGAAACTAGATAATTTCAGTGCATTTTTTTGGTGGGGAGAAGGAAGATGAGAAGCTGTCTGGAAGCAGACATCTATTATTAGACCATAATTATAGCTGCTTACTTGTGCCTTCACTGTGTGCGTCATGTTTGTTTTGTTTTCTTAGTCTGCATATCTGGTCTTTGCGGTACTTATTTTTCAATAGTTGCAATTTTTTTTTTTAATATATTTTATCTAAATTAGCACTCAATATGGGCATAGCTATATTAATGCAGTTTACTGGGATTTTTTTGGTAGTTAAATAGTTTGGTACAAAAAGTTAGGCTCTTCAGTATTTTCCGTATCTGAAAGTATCTAATAAAAAGAAAATGGATTATGCAGAGCTCAATCTGGGGCCCTTTTTCTCTGATGAAAAGTTTTAGGTAGCCAATATGTGTTAAACCAGCGGATTAGATGCCATACAGCTTCGCGATTGGAACAAATATGTTCTTTGCCAATAATTCTTTAAATTGGAAGGTAGTGTGAATTCTGATGTCTGGAAATCCCTGGAGGTCTTGAGTATTATTGTATGGGAGAAGGGAGGGGAAAACCTGGAAGAACTATGCCAGAAATGTTATACAGAATTTACAGCAATTACAGAAATTACTCAACAGGACAACAGTATTACTGGGGTTTCTGATGTGAAATCATTGGTGCTTAGAGCTGAGACATAACTTTGGGATTTTGGCTTTCAAAAAAAGCTCTTTAGTATAGTGCTGACTGGGGCAGAGGAGAAAATAGGTGACAGTGACACAGAACTACAGTTGGATATCTTCTAGCTGTAATATGGAGATGTACTCATGCGGTCTCAGATATCTTAATGATGATGTATTACTAGTCATTCTTGCTCTTTCTCAAAACTTTGATCATGCCTTGTTTTCCTTCTCAGATTCTCTGGGTGGTAACAGCCACACTCTCATGATTGCCTGTGTAAGCCCAGCAGATTCCAATCTAGAAGAAACTCTAAATACTTTGCGTTACGCTGACAGAGCAAGAAAAATAAAAAATAAACCAATTGTCAACGTTGATCCCCAGGCAGCTGAGCTGCATCATTTAAAGCAGCAGGTACTGGATGCTTTCTTCATGTGAGAGGAGTAGATCTGTCCTTTTGGTACTAAGCTCAGTAAACAGCAAGCAAAGAGATAGGATGCACAAAAATGCAAAAAATATTTAGTATGTCTCTTGAGATGGCTGTGTAAGTGCTGTAAAGGGAAGACATTGAATATTTCTTGTAATTCTACAGCAACTATTCAATGCCATAGAAAAATGATAGTGTTAACATGACTTACATTTCATTTCCATTGAATAAATGGCCATTAGGCTACAGGCAAAATTAGAAATACAGTGATGGTTGCCTTGCTGACATCACCTGCTTATGTCCAGCACAGAGTGGAAAGTGAAGTGTTCCTATGTGGTCAGCTTCAGAGGGAAGCAAGTTGCATAAACTAGAATTGGTTAAACCCAAAGCTGGAAGTGCCCAAGGGCTTGTCTACCAATGAATTAACCAGCCTTGCTGTGCTTACCTGACGACGTGTATCATACAGTCTTTCTTGCTACCTCCCCATAGAAAAACTCAGTAATCTTGTTCCACAATGGACCGAGTAAGTAGTTTGGCTTGCTGCATAGGAGTGTTCACCAGAGCCTAGTGAGTGTTTATTAATGTACTGTAAATTGAAATCACATGTTCAGGTAGCCTACCTGAACCTCACGTGACTACCTCACGTGAAAGGTAGCAACAGAGCATTGATTCAGCTAAGTGGGATACCTGCCCTTTGGATCAGCAAGGTCTCTGACACCCTGCACAGAGCAGTATGTCAACTGTGTGGGTGGCTTAACATGCTCTGATTGGAGCATTCCTGACAATGGGAAGGCAGGATTTTTTTTAGGAGTAAATTACTTGGAAGTACTGTAGCAACATGATCCCTTTCCATAGGCAGTGGTAAAAGGACAATTGTAATTGTGGAGCAGGTGATTCTTAAGACTAAGGATCTTAACAGTGTTCCTTCAACTATCTATTTACTATATGGAAGAGATTTATAACTAGTAATTGTTTGTCTTTGTAGGTACAACAGCTACAGGTGTTACTGCTGCAGGCCCATGGAGGGACCCTCCCAATGTCTATCAAGTAAGCTTTGTAGATTAATGATCAATGTAACCAATCATCACACACCAGCAAAGTCTCTGGATATCCTTACTCTAGGCAGTGCTATAGGGTGAGGGTAGAGCAAACTGGTTGCTTTCTAATAGAATTTTTTCTACTTCTGTTCTTTGTCATGCTTACTGACATTCCATGCATGTATAGGTCACTTAGTTTTGTAGCAAACCTGTTAAAATTGCAAAATCTGTTGTAGGAAACATAAGAGGAACTAGGTAATATCTCCTAAATAAGTATTTGTTTCTTACACTTATCCATCCCTCTTTTCTTCCTCACTATTCTACCTCTAAATGTGGGGCACCTCTGTGTGCTGGGTTTCTGTGGTGCGGTTTTTGGTAGCAGAGGGAGAGGGCTACAGAGGTGGCCCCTGTGAGAAGCTTCTTGAAAGCTCCCCCAGCTCTGAGTCTGACCTGCCTCTGGCCAGGGCCAAGCCAACTGGCGACAGTGTCTGCGTCTCTGTGATAACATATTTAAGAAGGGGAATCTGAGAGGGAGATGGTACTTGTGAGGAGAAGTTGTAAGAAGGATGAACACCCAGGTCAGTGGAATGAAGAAGGACAGGGAGGAGGTGCACTGGAGCAGAGCGCCCTGTATCCCATGGTGAGATGGCAGGGCTGCCCACCCTGCCACCCATGGAGGTCACCGGTGGAGCAGAGGCTGACCTGCAGCCTGTGGAGGGGCCCACACCAGGGCAGGCGGCTGTGCTTACAGGAAGCTGGGACTCTGAGGGGACAGGTCCCCGCTGCTGTAGTTCAGCACTGGGAGGACTGCAACACGCGGGGTTGACCCACGCTGGAGCAGCGTGGGAACGGCTGCATCCCGGGGGGAGGAGTGTAACCCCTGTCCCCTGTGCTGCTGGAGGAGAAGGGAGAGAGGTTGGAAGGAGAGCTGAGCACCATAAGAAGGGAAGGGTGCAGGGAGGTGTTAGATGTGGTGGTGCTTCTCACTGTCCCACCGTTTGAATTAGTGATGTTTTCTTCCCCCTAATGAGTCTGTTGCTCGTGACAATAATGGGTGAGCACCCTTCCCTCTCCTTACCTGGATTCCTGAGACATTTCTACTTCATTTTCTCCTTCCCATTCCTGACAGAAGGAAGGGGTGAGTGAATGGCTTCATGGTGCTCAGTTGCCCTCTGGGCTCAAACCACAACACTCCATCTCCATTGTTCTTAAAAGCACAAAATTCAGGGAAGACGGGAATTGTGTAGGTGGTGTCTTCTGCGGGTGTTTCAAGACTCAAGCAGGTGCAGTTTACAGACTTGCCATTGGTTAAACATTACTGTTTCAAAAGGGTGTTTTCTCTTGCAAATGTTTGGCATGCTGTATTACTTAAACTTTTTAATTCAGATTAGACTTCCTCCAGTTATTTCTGTTCGTCTGCTATAACCTATATTTATTGTAAGTTATTTAGGAAACCTAGAGGTAACTTCAGTGCTGTTGCAAACCTTTAGCAAGGTCATGTTCACAAGCAAACTGGTCCTTGATGTTTCAGTAGTATAGCACCTTCAGAGAACCTTCAGTCCCTGATGGAAAAGAACCAGTCACTAATGGAGGAGAATCAAAAGCTGAGCCGAGGGCTGAGTGAGGCTGCTGGTCAGACAGCACAGATGTTGGAGAGGATCATTCTGGTAAGGTTCAGATACCCAAGAAGAGCTTTAAGTTGTATGACTTCTCCTTTTAGCTAAAGATTAATCAATAGTAGCTCTTGTACTAATGGCATATTAGGAATCTCTCTTTAATGTTCTTTTCACATTTATTTCAAATCTCTAGCTATCAGTCAGAACTAAAAGTCTTCCAGAGCCTGTCAGCCTATAGATCTGGTGACTTCAGTGGAGAAAAGTAGTCTTTCAGCTTTTCTGTTGCTTTAAAGTTTTAAATACCAATGCTTGCACATGTGCTCTCTCTTCTGTCTTCTCCATCCCACTCTGTTTTGTTTTGATTAAATGCAGTATATATTCCACTGCAGTATATATTCCAGTGAAAAAGAGTGTTAAGTCTAAGCAAACTGGTGGTGATCAAGCAAGATTATTCACTGTATTGATTTGCCACAGACTGATGACATATCTTTTGCTACAAATAAATCAGATGTTTTCTGGCTTATGTTTCTTTTCTTACTTCTGACTTCTCTTAGACAGAACAAGAAAATGAGAAGATGAATGCCAAACTAGAGCAACTTCATCAACATGCTGTGTAAGTCTGTTTCCACACCCTACTCATGCTGAGGAAATATCTTTCAGCGTTATATGTTTTTGCTGGGATAAACTGGGTAGTCAATTTGTTTGTTTGTCCAGAACTCATTTGTATGTTCAGTGGGGTGAGTTGTTCCTTATTGGCATGTGTAATGCAAACATGCAGTGTAATACTCATTGACTTATTCCCATGTCTGCATTGCAGATGCAAGCTTGATCTGCAGAAGCTAGTAGAGTCTGTGGAAGATGAAGAACTAAAAGAGAATGTAGAGGTGATTCGTGATCTCCAGCAAGTGTTGGCTCAGTTGCAGGTAAGACTGAAGCCAAGGAGAGGAGTGTGTGCCAAGTGAGTTTACTAATGAACTGTAGCGTTCCTCTGAGCAGTGGATTCCACTCTGCAGAAACATTGCTTAAAGAGCCCAGGAAATACAAGTGTTGAATGACTCTTGATATCCACTTCGAAACAAGCTGTCCTGCTGTGCTCCTAATGGTGCAGAAAGGCCACTTGTGCTTGAGAGGCTGCACATGGTAGGGGAAAAGGAAGAGTCTCCATAAAAGAATCTGATAGTGGGAGATTACCATGGCTTTACAGTCCAAAAGTTGGAAGGAGAGTTATAAACTTGTTAGTTTTATTAAGCAACCCAAATTGCAGGGACCTGAAATTGTTAAATAGAATTTGCCAAATCTTTGTCTAATTGAGGAACTTCTCTATTCTCCCTTGCTAGACATTTTCCCTGTTACCAGTCTCCTTCCTCTTAGGAGGAGCTGGCTTCTAGTGCTGGAATTCAGGGAAGACTAGGAAGGATGTCTTATCCAGCTAGTCTAGGAGAAGTATGCTCACTTTAGTAAAGGAGGAAGACAATGGTGTCCTCTTTCCAGAGACAGCTTTCTGAACAGAGCAGAAGAACGTTATGCTTTGTCATAGGTCAACAGATTGTTACTAGCTTCATTTTACTTCATCTCTCACTTTTTAACAAAACATTCTTCTCTTTGCCCTATATAGAGGGAAACTGCTGCTACAATGGAAGTTGCTGCAGAGATGGAAAACTCTGAACAGGATGCTACAGCTGTAAGTGAAGGGAGTCCAGCAGTGCAGACCTTAACAGGGGCATGTTTTTGTCCCATCACTCTTCTCTGCATCCTTATACTAGTTTTCTAATACAAATGTTTGGTAAATAATGTGTCACTTTTGTATGTGCGGCCTTTCTAGGCCCTTATTTGCTCAATGTATTCAAGATCAATAACCTGTTCTCATTTCTGAATATCTAATTTTTTTTATGTGAAAAATGAATTTGAAGTGTTAGGCAGAAACTGTGATCGCATAGTTAAAGAGCTTTGGATTGTCCTCTCCAGCTCATTGCTGTGTCTCCCTCCAGGAAGCAGAAATGGGCCAGGATACCAAGAGATCCTTGGATGACTTCACCACTCAACATGCCCTCCGTCAAGCACAGATGTCCAAAGAGCTGCTTGAATTGAATAAAGCCCTGGCTCTCAAAGAGGCTCTTGCCAAAAAAATGACTCAGAATGATAGTCAGCTGGAGCCCATTCAGTCCCAATGCCAGGTAAACTCTTCTGAAATAGTTCTTGTAAGGATATGTTCAATTTATTTTCCCCAATTAATGCAGTTGCTCCATGCTGAGGAGGGAAAGTAGGAGATCTATCCTCTCATGAGCATTGTTCTTATTGGGTCTATCGATTTCCTTAAGCTGGATCATTGCCCTCTTGGGCATAGGAGGGAGTTAATTACAGGTGTCAGCAGAGAAGGTGGGGGATGACCATGCCCAGCTATCTACAGATATCTCTACCACCAGAAGATGGTCTCTTCACTGAGATAGGCTATTAGCCACTAGCTGTTCTACATGAAAGGGCCTTCTCTGCTTTTTACTCAGAGGTTTGTTTGGCCATACCAAGCCAAAAGTCAAGTACTTCATCGTTAACTCTCATAGTATAGCCAACTGATCAGACTTCCCCTGTTCGCTAGCTCTGCTGGGATTGCCCATCTGAAATTGTTCAGTCATAGCTTTTAGTCTGGCACAATGGTTTTGTGGACCGATGAAGATTTCAGTGTGGCAGACTAGGCCTTTTGACACTCATACTGCTTTTCGACAAGGTGGTTTTCACCCTGTTGGAAAGGAACATGGTTTCTCGAGGCCTTCTGTCTTAAAGTTTTGTATCTTGAGTGTAGTTGCAAGGTTTTTATTCAGAGGTTTACTACTCTTGTCCTTTCTAGACTAATATCAGAGATCTGGAACTGGAGGTCAGCAGTTTGCAAAAAGAAAAGGAGGAGTTGATCCTTGCTCTGCATATGGTAAAGAAGGATGTCAACCATGCCAAGTAAGTGACTATGCAAGCTGTGTGGCTTAGAGCACTGAAAATTGTGTTAATGCACCTGTGAAAATTCATGGTCTTGCACTTTTACTATTTGTAAAAGCTCTTATTTTGATGCAAATGCATGTCTTTAATATACCGTGCAAGTTGTGTGAATTGCAGAGAAGCCTGATAGTGGGCTTTCATCAGTGGAAAAAATGATAATACACAATTCCTTCGTTTTTCATAAGGTGTCTCTAAAGTTGGAGAGTATTTGTTTGAGAATAACAGTAATTAGGGGGGGCTGTTTTTAAAGTGTGTTTTCTTTACAGACTGAGTGAACGGCGTCGGAAAAGACTTCAGGAGTTGGAAGGGCAAATTAATGATCTGAAGAAGAAGCTGAATGAGCAATCAAAGCTCTTAAAGCTGAAGGAATCTACAGAACACACTGTCTCCAAACTGAACCAGGAGATCAGGGTAACTAACTCTAGCATGCAGTTCTCAGGCTTGTTCCAGTGTAGATAAAGCAGCTTCCAGAGAGAAGGCACTCGTTTTGTTAGCCTGAGAACACCAGTTTTTGGCATGACTCCTTTGGCTACGTGACCATAATTGCTGGTGTAATACAATAGACAGGTGACTACAGAGAGTGGCAGGAATAAAAAGTCCAAAGTATCTTCTGGTTATTCTGATAATTTGTTGCCTCATTTGTATCTTTTGACTTCATTTTGATTTCCATGTGTTCACACTGTGCATGTGTTCATCTTCCCTTTATATCTTAAAAGATTGATTCCTGGGTTTTAGAACTTTGAGATTGTCCTTAGGCATGTACTCTGAGTGGGCAGCACACTAGTATTTCTTGTCTGCCACCCCTCACCCCTGACAGACACACTAGGGGAATGTAGGTTGAAACTACCCAGAATGCAAGTACTGGACAAATCTTCCAGCCATTTCTATTTTTCAGGAAATGAAAAGCCAGAGGGTACAACTCATGCGCCAAATGAAAGATGATGCTGAGAAATTCAGGCAATGGAAACAACAAAAAGACAAGGAAGTCATCCAGCTGAAAGAACGGGTAAGCAAACAGTAAGCCCCCAAACTGTACCTCCCTCTGAGGAGTGAAACAAATCATTAAAGTGTTTGCTGCAAGGCTTTGTTTAGCTATCAAGCATCTGAAAAACATCTGGGGAATGCTTTGAAGATACTGTTAGTTCATATGGTTGCCACCTTTCACCAGTTGTGGTAAATGGACTTGCTTATGTCTGGAGATCTTAGAGCTATCAACACAGTTGTCATGATTCAGCTCTAAAGCAGAAGACAAAAATATTTAATATTTTAAAGTATTTAAAGTTGTAGGGTTTAGCCACAGAATGAGAGGTATTTAAACTTTCAAAGGAATATTGAATCTGCAGGTAAACAGAATTTTTAATGAAATCCAACTGCTTGTAGCATTCAAGTGTAATGGACAGCAAACATCTGTACCTTGAGTTCTGGTCTCACAGGAATTCTTACTGTAACAAGTTTGCTCCTTAATGCTTTGGGACTCTATGTCTTAAACTTTTGGTTTGCAGTCTCTGAGAGCCTTTAGGCTCCTAAACCTTTTTAACAGGAAATGTGGAGCCCCTTCATGTCACTTTAATCCTAACAGCCATTTGTTCTCAGAGGCACTACGTGGCTTAAGCTTGTAATGATGAGTGAAATCATTAACATGATGCACTCGCATTGCAGAACGGCAAATGTAATTATTCTGTTCTAATAAGTGTGGAACTGGCCATAGATATTAATGTGAAATGTGATTGATATTTTTTTTTTTTTTTTTTTTTTCCATCTCTCTTAACATTATTTGCCTGCAGGATCGCAAGAGACAATATGAGCTACTTAAGCTAGAACGAGATTTCCAGAAGCAGGCCAATGTACTTCGGCGCAAAACAGAAGAGGTAAGGAGCCAATATTTGCTAGAAACTCCTGACCAATTCCTAAAGGTCTGCAAAGTGTGGTTGGAGGTTGTAATAGGACGTGCAGAAACTTCTTAAAGGCAGTTTGGAGGTCTGGAAATAGGTGCTTTTCTCTCTAGAAAAATACCATGCTTCTGTCTTGTAGTCTTTGAGAGATTCTAGTTAAATCTGCTCCTTAAAGGCTAAATTACCCTTTGACCATAAGGCTGCTGTGGCAAATCTATTACAGATACTCAAGCCTAGAAAGTGTAAGATGAGCTTGGGTGATGGATATGCTAGGTTGCAGCTCAAAATTCTTTGAAGACAGCTGTATAGAAGTAGTGCATCTTGAAACCATCATTGTGGATGCCTTCTACCTTTAGGCCTAGAAGCAGATTCTTCTTAAACTGGGAATCAACAAAGGAAATGAAGTCAAGAACTCTAGTCTTCATTTAATTCTAAAGTTGTTCTGGTTTTACTACCTTATGTTCTCTCCTCATTGTCTCAATATCTGGCTTGCATTGTGAATACCTCATGTTTTTCAACTGTTGCAGATTAAGTGAAGTAACTACTGTTCAGCTTTTGTGTAAAATATTTTACAGGCAGCAGCTGCTAACAAGCGCCTAAAGGATGCTCTGCAGAAACAACAGGAGGCTGCAGATAAGCGGAAAGAAAGTCAAAATCGGGGAATGGAAGGAGTTGCTGCACGAGTAAAAGTGGGTGACTGTGTTGTGCATTCCAACAAACAATGGGCAGACTTAGCTTTGTTGACTTAGTAAGTGCTGCTGGGGTTGATGGCTGGAGAGCAAAGGGGAGGAAGATGGAGTTCCATATTAAGGGAGGCAATGGGTTATTCAGTTTCTGTGAAGACGTTTCAGAGAAGGATTTAGTCATGAAGTTGAGACTACAGTGAACCACTATACTGTTTTTTTGGTGGTGTTGTGTTTGGGTTTTTTTCTCCAGAGCTGGCTTTCAAATGAAGTAGAGGTTCTTGTTAGTACTGAAGAGGCTCGACGGCACCTTGCAGACCTTCTGGAGGACAGAAAGATCTTGGCACAGGAGCTTCTTCAGCTTAAAGAGAAGAAGGAGGCTGGGGAAAACCCACCTCTAAAGCTCCGGGTAAGAGAAGGGGAGATGCCATTTTCTGTCTCACACCTCTGGCTGTTCAGCAAATACTGTCACTTATTCACTTCTCTTTGACCTTTTGTCTCAGAAGGAAGGGATGGAGATGATTCCTTTTCTGGGAGAAAGGGTTAATGTTACTGTCCTCTGGCATGTCAGGGAACAGATTTTCAGAAGTAACTTGTTACTTAATGCAATGAATCTGATGGATGTGACTGGATCATGCTCCTTATCAAAGATTTTTTTGTTTTGGAGAAGGAGCAATGAAATTTAAGCTATGGAGAGATACTTGGAGGCTTTTATAATAGCATGGCTCCTCTTTGCTGAACTGTCTGCATATGAAAGGCCAGTCTTGTGTGCATTTCTTCACCTATTGCTCACTTGTATCCATTGCTGCAATTCTTTAGAGACGCACCTACTCCCTCACAGACTTTCAGGCATCAGAGATGGACCTTTCCATATCAAAGCAGATAGAAAGCCTGGAAACTGAAATGGGGCTCAGGTAAGGCAGTACAACAAAGCTGATTTGTAGAGCCTTGTTTCCATTATTTTTTTTCCTTATCTCTATCTGTAACTTCTCTGTGAAACAAGAGAAAGTAAAATTACTTTTACACTGACACTAAAAATAAGACCATGTGGTTTTCATGGTTTGAATTTTTTCAAAATGTTGGGCTATGACTGTCACTTAGATTGTGGTTTGGTTTTTTTTTTTTTTTTTTGCTTAGCTGTTTGTGAGCATCTCTGAGAGTAACGCTGCATTTTTAATTGGAAGTGTGGAGGGGAGGAGAAACTCCCTGGTATCACATTGCAGACTCCAGCTGCTGTACCAATCAGTCAAAATTTTAACTTGAGCTATTTTGTCTAATATCCTGGCAATTTTAGCCTAGAGACTAGCCCAGGTTTTCTCCTGCATTGTAACTTCAACTACATGCATTCTTCCAAAGGAGTGCCCAGATAGCAGATCTACAGCAGAAACTATTAGACGCGGACAATGGAGACCGTGCAAAACAGCGTTGGGAGAGTATTGCAACAATTCTAGAGGCTAAATGTGCCTTGAAGTATCTTCTTGGGGAGGTAAATTCTGAATTTTCCTGTTTTATCACTGAAACAAAGGCTCTCTGTCTGCTTAGCCAGGTGTGAAAGGAAGTGACTAACAGGCTGACAGCAGAGGTGAATTCAGGTGAATCACTCTTGTACTGGATGAGGTTTATTTCCCTCACAAATTCTGATTAAAATATTCTCCTGTACTGTATATCATTTCAGGGATTGAAATCCAAAAAACAAGGAAAAGGGAAATGGAATAGACTCGGGTCTGTAAATACCAGCTAAATCTGTGCTTACAGAAGGCTTGTGTGGGAATAGTAAAAGCAGAGAGACACATTTCAGAAGTGGAAGAGAAAGTACCTAAAAATAATTCCTGAACAAGTAGACAATCTGCAGGGAAATAGGGGAGTACTCTCTGAAGTCAGAGTGGAAGCAGTGGAATGGGTGTTGAGGTGGGAGAAGCTTGAATAAGACTGGGGGTAGGAGAGAGTAAGAACTGGGCTAATGTGGAATCAAGGAAAGAGCAGCTGAACAGCAGAATTATATATTAGTCCCTGGTGCTTGGAAACTAAAGGCAAAGAATGAAGGAGCTAATATGGGAGAACATCTATTTTTGGGGTTCCCTCAGTATTCAGATCTGAAGTGCTGTGGGAAAGGAGGTTAATCTGGAGCTGTTAACAGACTTCTTGCTACCTGATTTACACTTCCTTACTGGTTGTCAGATGTCTAGATCTGAATCTCTCATCTAGTCTCCTTGTTGCTGACAGCCAGCCCAATCCTTAGAGTGGCTGGGAGTTAGGCAGAAATACTTCACCTTCAGACTGCAGCATGTCTGCCCCAACAGACATTATGAAACATGGAACTCATTGGCCCAAGCAATCATCTTGCTTTGTCTTTCAGCTCGTCTCCTCAAAAGTGCAGGAAAGCAAGTTGGAGAGCAGCCTTCAGCAGAGTAAAGCCAACTGTTCAGATGTACAAAAGATGCTGATTGAAGAGCGAAACCATGTAACAGAGATGGAGGCTGAGTTCCAAAATCAGCTTTTGGTTCAGGAACAACACCACCAGGAAAAGGTAAAACATAAGTGATAGAAATCTTGAGAGTTCCTGTGTCTTGGGACTCTAATTCCCAGATCTGCTCAGAAATAAAGGCCAAAAGTATGTGCTGAAACCAATCTGTTGCTATATATCTGATCAAGATTTGTTAGACTCTTGAAGATAGTTAATAATATCTCCCTATTCATCTTCTGTCCTGTGCAAGTTTTTTTATTCGATAACTTTTCACAGTGCCTTAAGTGAGGATGTTACACCTGAGTATAAGATAATGTGTAGATCAGGGTGGAATCATGCTGGAAGTAGCAGAAAAAATCCTTCTGAAATTGTCAAGGCTTTTGATGCCTGGGCTGCCAGATGTCTCTAGGAATTCATGCCTGTTTGCCTCTGCTATATTAATTTGCTTTTAGGTTCTGTACCTGCTTAGCCAATTTCAGCAAAAAGAAGCAGCAGGGAAGAAACTGGAAGATTCACTAAGTGAGCAGGAGAAACAGCTGCAAGAGCGACTCAAGTTCCAGGTAGAGTGTCTGGATGTGACTTGGGGAGGGTGTGCTCATTAGGGCTACCTGTGACATGGAATAGTATCTTTAGTGTGAGGAAGCTGCAGAAAGACTGAAGAGCATTTCCATTTGTAGCTAAGGTTGTTCAATTCACTTGGTTGCAGGAGATAGTTGCTATACAGGTTTGAATACACCTTTGTTCTTTTCTCTTATGTATTGTCTTCCATTAAATAAATGTAAATGCAGCAGTGAGGTCTGCCACAATCTGATCAGCTCACACAAACCCTTCATGCTCAGAACACCTTTAGTTAGGGTATTTAATACACTATTAGTAATTGTTTGCTGAGCACAGCTCCCCTGTGCTGTCAGCAATGCAAGAACTTTAGCTTGATCATATAAACATGTTACAAGCTGCGCCTTATGTTCTCACGAAGAGTGTAGCAAGCTCCTGTGGAAGGGCATGTTCAGTGATGTATTGAAGGAAAATCAGCCCTAGGTGCACCTAATCTGGAGATAAGGCTTAGAAATAGAGGGAGTTTTAGACCTTAAATGGTCACTCTGAAAGGACAAAATTCTCTCTGTATTGGCAATGCTATGCATTAATCAAGCTAGTAGCACTAATAATTTCCCTGATTATTCAGAGCTGATCTCCTGCTGGAAGATATAAAGGAAGCCTCTTTGATCTTGCAAGAAAGATCCAAATAGAAAAATCTGTCCCAGACAACTGTTTGTGCTATGCCCACATAAGCCTACAGATGTCATCTTGCCTTGCAAACAGGAGGAAGAGCTGGAGAAAATGAGGGAGATCTGTGAGAAAAACCAAGAACTTTTCCAGGAAAATGACACTCTTAAACAGGTAGATTACTACAGACATAAGTTGTAAGAGCTTCATGGCAGTTGGGTTAATGTATTTTGCAAAGCTAACTTTTTTGTTCCTCTTAACAGAAACTGCTGATCCTCCAAGTTGCCAGTGGACAGAAGCTCTGTAACATTCAGCAAAATCCGTCTGAGTCCTCAGATTCTTTTGATTATATTCCACCCAAAGTAAAGATTCTGCATGACAGTTTTCATGCTTGTTATTGTACCTGGGTTCTTTTCAAAAGTTAATTTTGGCTATTAGTAATCTTGGTTTCTTTTTCCCAAGTTGCTTTTTACACAGCATGCTGTTCTGCTTATTGAAGTAGGCATGTTCTCTACTTCAGACAGTCCTTAGAGTTTCTGTCTTCAGAATACTTCTGAAAGTAGCTTGCACTAGTTTTTCAATCTTTAAAAAAAAAAAAAATGCAAATAAAACCCCAAACCTGTTTCCTCAGTCTAATTACATCTGACTCTATCCTTCTTGCTAATCCAGGTGTTTTCTCAGTAGCATTTCTAATCTCTGAATCATGGAGCAAGGCATCTGTCATAGAAAAGTTAATTGTTGCCTTGCTGCAAAAGAGCCAATCTTAGTGCTGGGAGGAATAAATGATTTAAAACTATTTTGTCAAGACTGTGACACATCTATTAAATTTCCAAGAATTTGTCAACTATACCAGTTTAAAGTTGGCTGATTGACTTTAATCCTGACAATTTCATCTTTTTGTCTCCTTCCTAACTCTACGGCTGCCTTGGCTGTCTGAGAGGAATGGGACTCTGGTGATGGGACTCTGAAGTGCCTTAATAAAATGTAAACCAACTGTTACTTCCTCTGGGGCCTCAACCCTTGTAACTTCTGTGTGTAGCCAAAGACTCGCCGGCAAACGACAGCAAAACCCCGTGCACCAACTCCAGAAGTGGATGTGGAAGAGCTGTTCTCTGACTCCGAGGAGTCTGGGAGGGAGACGGAGGATGCAGAGTGGGTTCCGGTAAAAGCAGTCAAAGGAGCAAAGAAAAGCATGATGGGGGTAAGAGTTACCTTTGACTTGTTACCTATCAGGGAATCACTTGCCTGTATCCCTAAGGATCTAGTATGTGTACAGAGAAACAGTGAGACTGTAGTGTCTCCACTGTTGTTCTGAAAAGCCTTCATACGATAGTACTTCTGGCACTGGTTATTTATCATCTTCTGACAGAAAGAGCAAAAGTTGCCTACAGTCAGCTTACACCTTCCTGAATAGTTTTTCATTGGACAAGTCATCTACTGAGACACACGTTGTCTGTCCTACTACCTGTGGCTGAACTGGCCTGTGTTTCAGAGAGCAGCAAAATAGTGAGCCCTAACTGCAGCCTTATTCTTTCATGGAGCCCTTTAGGGGAAAAAGAGGGATGGCCTGTCATGTATCCCCATGTACTGTTCCCACTGTGGTGTACCGGGGCTCCTAGTCCTGACAGAAGCCTCAGCTTCCATCTTCTCTTTGTATCAGACTGGGCCTGAAGCTTCAGACTGCTGCTCAGTTAATTCCTGATGGGATGGAAGAGGTGATCTGAATGTGTTGAACACGTCACTGGGGACCAATGTGCCTCTTTGAGCTTGAATTGCTCTGAAGCTAAACCTCCACTGTGAGACGTGTTCTTCCCCTTTCACAGTGGGGTAAATCATTGCATATTTCACTACTGAGTGACTGTGAAAACATCAGCAGTTACCACAGAAAAGCTTATGAGCTTTAAGGTCTAGCTTTAGTTCCTTTTACTGGAGTGTGTCAACCTGATAAATTCTGACCTACAGTACTATTGGTGGTTTGGTTTTGGGGGTGTTATTTTTGGCCATGTTGCAGGAATGTGGGTTTGTGCATCACACTTGGTTCTTCTGAGTTCATTTACGTAACCTAGTGGAACTTCAGTGCAAATTACTGCTCAGTTCAGAACTGTAGCTTGGAGCAGCTGGTCTGTGCAGTCTGCTATTGCTTCATGTACCCAGACTAGCTAAGAGAGTGGTTGTTCTGATATGCCATGAAGTAGCTAAATTGAGGAGGACCCTAGGTATGGTGACCCCTAGGTTTGCTTCCTGGTACGTAAGTGTTGACTTGTTTTACTGACACAAACTGGCATCCTTCTGGATAACATTAAGTCGGGGATTGAGTAATTGAAAATGTTTATTTTGAGGATAGAGATGGCTCTGTAGGCAGAAAGACCTTGTTTCTTTTCCTGGGATGCAGGGCTGAAATAAGGAAAGGTTCATGGGAGCCTGGGGATGATCCTGTCCTTTCGATAGATAGCTTCAGGTGCTGACAGCTGTGGCAGTCTAGATGCAGTCTGTAAAACACAGAAGCTGTTTCTGCACAGAACTCTCTTCTTTCTTAGTGCTCCTGCAAGGGCCGGTGTGGAAATAGACAGTGTGGCTGCAGGAAGCAGAAGGTGGGCTGCACTGATCGCTGCAGCTGTGACTTGGCAAAATGCAGAAACAGAGACTCTGGCTTGCTGGTGAGTAGTACTGTGTTTGTGGGTGCCGAAGGGCTTGCACCCAGCACCCAGACTGCACAGTGGGATTAAGCAAAGCTGGATGAATGGAGAAGCAGTTACGCTGTCAGAATGCACGCACAGCTTGTCAAGCTAAATCTTATGCACCTCTCTGAAACCTTTGTGCCACTAATTCAGGGTTTATCTGTGGTAACAGACTACAAAGTTTTCCACTGCAGTACCAGGCTCTTGCACTAAGTACAGAAATGTGCATGATGTCCTGAGTCACATAGATTTACCTACTGCCAGTTGTCAGCCATGAATCGGAAGACAAACAATTTCAATCTTTCTTTTGCACATGGTAAATAAAAATTGTATCTTTACCTTCAGATGGCACAAAAATGTAACTAATTTTCAGAATTTTTTGTATCCCTAGCAGGTAAAATCTGGGGAGGGGAGTGTAGTATCAGGAGGGTTCATGAGCAACCGATGTTCATTAGAGCTCTTGCTAGAAATGTCTGCCTTGTTCTTGGATCTTAGAGATTTGAAGCAGAGACACCCCATCGTAATTCTTTAATTATTGACTATTTTATGAAACCAGTTGCCTGACAGAGGCATCTAGCATTTTGTACTATTAATTACTTTGTAATTTGAGAGAAGGTGGCTTAGGGACCGCTAATATGTCTTTGTCTCTTGGTGGAGAAAGAAGGGGTGGGTATTGTCAAAGAGCTTCAAAATAGTACTGCCCCTCAGGATGCCACACTGTGTGAGGACCAAACAGGGAACTCTGAAGGTTCCTTCAAACTGGAAGACCCCACTGAAGTGACTGCAGGAGAGACCTTCTTTCAGCCTGTGTGCGTCACACCAACTACAAAGGTACTGCCTGAAGCTGTAAGAATGAACAGTGGTGCTGAGTGTGTGCACAGCTTATTTATGGCTAGTGGTAGATCTTGAAGAAAAAAACCCCAATGTGATACTGTTGCTAGAGAAGTCTGAACAGACTGCAACTGTCAAGCCAGCTTGTATTTAAATGTTGAGTCTGCTGAATTCTTAAGTTTCATGCTAGAACTTTGCCACAAGAAATGGATTCCCTTATCCTGTGTGTACCCCTCTGCACACTATTCCAAACGCTGTCTCTTCCTCCTCAGTCCATGAGTTTGTCCTTACAATTTTGACTTGAGTAAAGAAATCAAACAACTCTTGACATTAGCCTGGCAGCTTCTGTATGTGCTGCCTGCAAGCTCCAGTGCAAGCTGGCTGGCTTCTTCAGGACAGTGACCAACTCCAAAATTGTCTTCCTTGCTTTTCTGATAGGTCCTGAAAGATATCACAGACCAAGATGTGCTCATGAAGAAGTCCAGCACTGCTGCTTCCCTGCTTGTGAGAGATGAGGAGTCCCAAGAGAACCAGATACCATTTGTAAAGAGAAAGAAGAGAATGCTGAATAGCAATACCAGCTTCTTCTCAGGTTGCACCCCTATCAAAGAGGAGTTAGACTGACGAGCCCAGAAGGTGCCCTATGACTGGGTTGTGCTGTGCTTCTTTAGACCATGTTACTGGTGACTAATGAACATCAGGTTTTACTGGTGACCTCTAAAGTGTTGGGATCTCTTGCTGCAGCAAAAGCCTGATTACTGTGATCCTGACACCTGGCATCAGCAAGGGAGTCAAACACTAGCTCTTGTTAAATTGTGTCCAATTTGTAAATATTTGGATGTGTGGGTCTTGTGCGGATGGTAAGAAACATTTTCCTCTAGAGTTTCTGTAGTGAGTGGAGGTGATTTATCCAGGTTGCTCATTCCAGCTGCCTGTCTTAGCCGGAGCTGTGAACATGCTGGGTACAGCTTAATCCGTAATCTTGAAAGAACTTTGCATTTGCACTGGGAATGTGGGCATTGACTCTTCCAATTCAGCATGAGGAACTGTTCTAAGCTGCCCTGTGAGATCTCCTGGTGCTTGATCTTGAAGGAGGCACTGCCTGTAGTCTTAAACTAGCTAGCAGATATGAAATTGTGTTGTTTCTGTACCCTTTGGTCTATCCTTGTTCGATGAAATTAGAAAGCTGCTAGTCATTTTAACTTGGTTTATAGCTTTAATAAAATAACTACTAAAAAACCCTGACTTTTAATTTTACATTATTATGAACAGTAATCACTCTGGGATGTCTGCAATTAAAATTGGCCTCAAAACTGTTCTACCGGTTGCTGTGCTGACCACTGCCAGGATTAGCTCTAGGTCTTTTGCTGCTGTAAAAGAAGTAGGCAGCCCAAACAGGGTCCTACTGCTTTCCTTTCCCCTCCTTGCCCCTCAGTCCTAATCTTTGAGTCACGGCATGAAGATGAAAATTTTTCCCCTCCACTAGTAATACTGACAACCCTAACCTCTACTTTGACTTGCAGATGGGTGCTGCACTGGCACTGGACCTTCTCTGAGCTGTGAGAGCCCTCTATATTCATCTTGGGCATGTGCAATATTAATGATTATGTGGCTTCTGGCTTGATGCAAGCTGAGCAGGCTTTTCTGCACAGGAGCTGTTCAGACCTGCCTTTAATAAACATCAAAGTATAAGTGCATAGTTTCTCCTAAATAAAATTAGTATCAACATGACTGAGCAATGTAATTTCCCTTCACTCTCTTACAAGCTTGCTCCTGTTAGGAGAAGAGGTTAGAGCAGGGCTCTGGGCTTGCTCTCTGCAAACAGCGTGTGCTGTACCTGGCAGGGCTCTGGCTGATGGAGCTGTGGTCAGAGCTTGGGCAGCCTGGCCTGTTGGAAACTGCAAGCTGAGACCCACCTCATCGCTCTGTGACTGCATGGGGTTGGCTGTTCTTCTAACTTCAGTTGTCTTTGGACTTTCAAAGCATGTGAAAGTCCCTGGTAGGTCCCTGGTAGGAGTAAGATGTTTGTTTCAAAGCTAAACAAGCTTGTAAGTCCTGAGGACTTTACCCAGCAAAAGGGCACCTACCTCCTCCCACGCACCTTCCCATCCTTTGATGCAGGAGTTTGGAACGTGTGAGTCAGGATCACTTCATAGCTAAAGAACAAAGACACAGCACAAAGGCAACAAATCTTTCTGCAGTGAAATGTGAGGTAACAAATGCCTGTGGTTTAAGCAAACTTATCCTACTCATGGCAGAATTATGAAATAATCCACCTATGTGGTTGGGAGCTGCGTGCTTGAGGTGGTGGCTGGTCTCTCCTCGCCCTTCCCAAAGGCTGCTGCCTCCCTGGAAGGCAGCAGAGAAGAGCAGCTGCCCCAAACAACAGCCTGTTTTGACTGACAGGGCTCTGTTTGGCCTCCTGCCTTATTCAACTATAAAAGAAGAAAAGCTGTAAATCAGAAATAGTCCTGCTATATTCAATTGTTCATCCCCCTTTCAGCGGGGTTGTGTTTGCGTCCGAGCCAGAACCTGTGCCAGAGCTCACCCAGCTTAAGTCACGTCAGGCTCAGCGTGAGCCAAAAGGCATTTGGAAAGGTAGTACAAGCTGCAGCCAAGGTCACTTGTTACAAAACCACACCACTTAGTGTTTAATATAAAAAACCACATTAAGTTTATTCAGTCTTTCAGTAGAGCAGACAGGATCCTGCTACACGAGAAAAGCCCCTGCAGTGCCCGAGGCAGAGAGCCAGACAGGCGCCGTGAGGCTCGGCCGCGTTGCCCCTCGCCCGATCCCGCTGTGTGTCACCCCGCGACACGTTCTTCCATACACATGCAAACACAAGCTTAATGAAGTGCTGATGGACAGAGGTGCAGCTCTTTGGAAATCTTGGCTGGGATTTTACTTCTTCTCTAACTTTTGAGTGGTGGGAGTGTTATGGCCAACAAAAACTAGATTAATGGGTACCAGAGGGCAGCCTGAGTAACTGTTCTCCAGAACCCCCTCCTCTACCTCTTATCTGCATTTCTACTGTTAAGAGATAATGTTCACACCCACGGGCACTGAACCTGGAGAACAGGGTATGCAACTAACAACCTAGAAGCAGCAAATGTATTTAGGGGGGGAAAAAAAAAAAGCTACACGCCACCTCATCCAGGGCTGTGTTTGATGTTACTTGAAATGAAGATCCATGTCACACCACCCGGCCTTTTCTAAGTTACTTTTACTTGGCACAGGGCAGTGCTACCAGCACCTGGCTCAGAGGCATGGACACGTCCGTCAGAAATAAGGCGACAGAAGAGCCGCAAAGACTGTTCTGTGTAACGGTGGCCAGAGCTCACCACTGCTACTGAGGCTCAAAAGACATTACGGGACATAGGAAAAGGTTAGTCTTGCTTTCCTCTTTCCACAGGCAATCATCTCTCTCTCACTCCACACCCAACTGCATATTAACAGAGTATTTACACACTCACACTGCTTACAAAGAACTCTTGGCAAAACCTCTGTCAGACTCAGTACGAACCACTGAAGAATAGAAAGGGATCAGACAGCCTCTTCACAAATTATCATAGTCGTCATCATCTTCATGCTTCCTTTTCAAGGGATTTGATTCATTGGATGTATTCTGTGACGATACCATATTTGTAGTGATAAGAATGTTCTTTGGTCCAATTAATGAAGGATTAATTAGAACATTCTGAACTGTCGGAGTAGTTGGTGTGGCTGTGAAAAAAAAGATGTCACTGAATGAAAAGTCTGAAAAAAATGACAGTTGATTTTCCAACATTGAAACAGAACTTCCAACCTAATAAAGCAAGCTGCTACTATAACATTCCGGACTGAAAACCCTGGAATAATCCTGAGAGCAAAGGAATTCAAAATAGGAATTAAAATCAGAAGTTACTGGAATGACCAGAGTGAGGACTGCCTGCCTCACGTAAGGAGACACGGAAGATGATAAGCAATATTAAAAAACAGAAGAGGTGAATTAATTTCCCACATTATTACTATAAATTAATTTCTGTTCTGCTAAAAAGAATGCCAGTAAGTGCTGCTGATCTTTACAGCTTGTGCTTTACCTGTCTTGACTGCTGCCTGAGAAGACGGGATCTGTACAGTGAACCTCTGACCGGTCAGCGACACTGGGGTGCCAACTTTTGTTGAGACAGATACTGTTTGTGCTGAAGGTGTACCTGAAATTCAAAACAACTCAATCAAAATATAAATTAAAAAAACCCCATATATACTTGCACTTGTAAAGCTGCTTTCAAAGTGCAACCTATTATTTTCCCAAAGTAGTGGGAATACACTGGAACATACTGATTCTGATATATAGGAGTCAGATTTTCAGGCAGAACTGTGCATTTACTCAAAACCTGGAAAATTCTAGGCTACAAACACATGCTAATATGTAAGTGCACATGTTCAGTCATAAATTTTGCGAACCTTTTAAAACCTGATTTCACTTAGCGCTATTTGTAGTTCAGTTTAGTGCTTACATTGAGGAAAAAATCCCCCAAGCTTATGTTTCCTGAATAGCCTCTTCACATATAGGAATTATCACAAATACAGGAATAAAAATACAGAACGTCAGTAGTGTATATATGTATCAAAGATCACAATAATCTTTTTGAAATGAGTTTAATTTTTCAGATGCTGTCAGACGATACTAAATTCAAGTGGCACCCAACATTTCCTCCATGGTTGAAACATGCTTTAAATTACTCCCCATTATTTTTCTCCTTCACAAAATCACCATGGGAAACCCCAACTGAGCTGTTTCCTACCTAAAGTAGGAGTGCTGGGCCTGCTGCTCACAGCACCAACACTCAAGCGAGGGACTGTTATTCTTCCTGCAGAGGAAGAGACCTGTTGAGAAGGAACACTCAGTTCAGCATCCCATTAGGAAATAACAGTTCTTAACATGAAAAAAAGAAACGGTTCTTCCTACAGATCCACTGAGAGCCTATTTCACAGCAACAATACACGATTTGTATGCCAACACCAAAGTTTTCAAACTCCCCATGGTGTGAATGTCAGCAGTGTGAGCTGGAGAGCTCCTGGATGTGACATAATGCTGAAGGTCAGCAGAGAGCTGATCTGGCAAACAGCACTTGAGTCAAACAGGATAGCTTCTATCAGAAAGAATAACTGGGATATTTTAATCGGCAATTTTTATTCCACTGTATGCCTAGCACCGAGGCATGTCCCGTGTCAATATTTAGAACCTTAAGTTCAACTTTTAAGATTCTTTCTTCAAAATATGAAGCCCTACACACCAGAGACATTCAGTATTTTCCACCAAGCAAAGTAAATCTTTTCTCTTCCCTCTAAAGCAGAAACAACTGAGGTATAAGTACAAGACACCCTTTAATACTTATACTAAAGACTTACTTTTGCCTTTTACAATCTGATATTCACACTTGACAATCTAATACTAAAAAACTCACAGATGCATTTTATAACACACTTTGCATTGGAAACTAACAAGCAAGAAGAATACTTGTGAATCCCTAGAGATAAAGAGCACTGAACCTAGTTACAAACACTCTTTTGACATAGGCAGGTCAGCATTTGCCCACACGTATCCTTCAAAGGTGCGGAAAGCTCTAATTCCAACAGTATTTCTGAGAAAGAGTGTGGGCACTAGGTAAATCCTTCCCTACTCCGAGCCCTTACCTTCTTCTGCAAAGACTTCAGTCTGTAGTTGGGAGCTGTCAAGCAGTATCTGTCGGGCGGGAGCCTGGGTCCAGAATAAGGCTTTATCAACGGCAACGGTGTCTGATTTTTCTGCCTGGCTATGTCTAACAAGAACTGGAGAGACCACAGTTACATTCCCACCCATCACCTTTCATCGCGTTCTGCTACACTCAACACGATTTTACTTACGTCTCTCGGGGGGGGAGATGTAAAGGACTGGTCTGTCCGACACTGTATTGCCAACCTCACATCATCTGCGTCGACGCTGGATTTCTTTGCATGGCTTGAGTAAATTTTTGCATCCTCCAGTATGGTAGTCACATACCCTTTGAAAAACAGAACCCGCGTTAGAAGAAAGAGGGAAAACCTTCTCCCTCCCGACCCCACCCAAAACGCTGCTTCCTCCGGGCTTGTTCTGAACGGCTGAGGGGGAGCCCCCCTCCCCCGCGCCGGGAAACACGGCTAAAGGCAGCATCCCCTCCCCCTCCCCGCCCCGGGCAGCCCCAGCAGAGCCCCCGGCCCGGCCCCGCCGCCACTTGCTGTAGGCGAACTCCAGCATCTGGTTGATGACGCGCGGCTCGTACTCCGTGATGCCCATGTCCTTCAGGATCTGCGCCATCACCTGCGGGGCAGAGAAGCGCGGCTCGGCTCGGCTCGGCTCGGCTCGGCTCGGCTCGGCTCGGCTCGGCTCGGCTCGGCTCCGGCCCCGCTCCCGCCCGCCGCCCGCCGCAGTACCTGAGCGTCTTTGGGCGCGCTCTTGGGGGACGCCATCTTCGCCGGCTCCATCGCTTCCGCGCGCCTCAGTCCGCCGCTTCCGGCCGCGTGACCGGGGAGGGGCGGGCGCGGCTACGGGGGCCGGGAGGGCGGCAGGGACGGGGGTTGCCATGGAGACGCGGCCTGGCCCGGGCAGGGGCGGGCGGCGGCGCTGAGGGGGAGAAGCTGCGGCCCGGCAGCAACTTGTACAGCGCGGGCGGGGCCGTCCCTCCGCCCCGGCCCAAAGCTACCGAGCCCTTGAGGTCTTCAACACAAACGGGGGCTTCAGTGTCCAACGGCTGCTGCGTGTGTCCCCCCCGCCACGGGTGGAAAGCGGGAGGGCCCCACAGGAGCAAGCCCCCGAGCTCCCTCCCCTGGTTAGACAACCATTAAGTAAAATAGGGCTCTTATTCTACTTTAGACTTTTAACAATTCCGCTTCTGTGATGCAGAAATTCTTTTTACTAAATACGCTTTTGGGGACAAAGCAACACACGGCACACACCGAGTCCGATGGGGTCAGGGGATTGTCCCCTGTTCCCCGTGCTGCAGAACAGCCTAAATGCCAGCCGATTGTCCAAGGATGGAGCAGGAGGGTACAGTTACTCCATTGACAACTTGGATGGCCACGTTTTAAATTGTCAGTGTTCCCTGGATTAAAGAAAAGCGAGAGTATTGGCAGCAGGACTTTCAAAGCTTGTTTTCATGGCAGCCAAAGGATCCTTAGATACATTCCATGCAGGTCTCGTCAAAAGTTTCTCCCTTGCTTTCTGAAGCAAAACAGAACTAAAAGAAAAATGTTTTCTTGTGATTTTGTCAAACAAGGGGATTAGCAGCATACCAAAAGAAGTTGCAGTGGTGTTGTCATTAGCTGTGACGGTCCAAATGAAGCAAGGTCTGGAGGACGACGTGATACACTAGACCAGCTGATATAACGGGGAGGAGGAGCCAATCTCCTCCGAAAGAAGAAATAAACAGCTTTTAATTTACGATCCCTCTGATTCATGCCTGCAACCTGTTGCAAAACATCCCAGCAGAAGCAAGACACTCTCTCTGCTTCTCATTTACACCATGGATGATGTTTAACACCTGGGAGCTGTATGCTCAGCCCGCCTCGATGTAAATGCAACTTCCAAACCTGTCTTGGCCCCTGTAGGTAGGTACTGAGCTGGCAGCTGGCCCCCCTGCCGCAGGTTTGGCGGTTATAGGGGGGTGCCAGACTTGGCCTGACGGCGGGGGCAAGGGGGACGGCCCTGCAGCTGGAGGAGCTGCAAAACCCGCATCCAGCACGTGCCAGCGCTGGAGGTGCAGGCAGCCAGCGTGCCTCTGCTGAAGGCTCTTTGGCTGGAAGCACTGTAGCGTTATAGTCCAAGTCATTTGACTTTCATGAGTCAGAGTATATTACACAAAAACATCCTGCGAGGAGGGAAGGGAGGATGAATTCCAGACACTGACCTTAGACAACAAACAAAACCCACTTTTTTTTTTTTTTTTCCCTTGTTTTAGGGAAGAGGGGGAAGGGAGCCCTTCCCCCGTGGACTGGATGCAGGCTGTGCAGCAAGCCGAAACTTGGCATCATCAGTCTGTCACTGCCATTCAGTCCTGATGCAGTAGAAAAGAAAGATATTTTGTACTGCCAAAGGGCTCTGGGTTTACCCCCCAACAGCAGCCAGAGACTCTTCTTCCCCCTCAGGTCTCCCATCTGTGCTGTGACCCCCCACTCCCCAACAGCCCTGCTGCGCAGAGGTGACTTTCCAGGCTGAGCAGCAGGACCAAGAGCTGCAGCTGCTTGCAGCATTTCTGCCTGGAAACCAGAGTCGAGAAGAAGACATGGAGAGCCAATTTCCACTGGGGAGATATTTGTCCCCAAGGCCACAAATACCTGATGATGAGCGGGAGCGGCTTTGCCTGGCGATGAAAACTTCCTCCCCACCGCCGGGCCCTGGGCACGGCCGCGCTGCGAATGCCCATGTTCAGCGGGCTGTGGGCACACCGCGCCTTGGCCGAATGAAGGAGCGGTCACCCTTCATCTTTGCTCAGACACTGAGCGTTGGAAAACAGGAAACTGGGTCACGGCATGGCCAGGCCACGCGCCGACAACTCTGCCTGCCACCACTGAACCGGGGATGTTCATCAAAGGCGACTGTCTCCCTGCTGGGAGGGATCTGCGTGAAGAAATAGGGACAACAGTATGTGCTGGCCGGGGCTTTGCTCTGCTCAGGGTGCATCATTTAAGAGTTAAGCATTGGGAATCTCTTCTTAGGTGGGTTCTGTTGAGGTGTTTCAGGTGCAGCAAAGTAAAGCCCTGACATACAGACTGTGTTTCTTTTTTTGATGTGTTCAGGTGCCTAAATATCTTGTGAAAAAACCCACAGTCAGCGCTTCTGCCTCTTGGAAATGGCAGCAGAAATCTCCCTAACACTAGAACTCTGTCAACACAATGCAGTGACTGTGTTCAGCACTGACCTTTTGAGCCCAAATCCCACACTATTTGGCTCTACAAGGTGCTGTCTTTTGAATAGTCCTTCAGACAAGAAAAACTGCAAAGAGCAGAGCTCTGAGGAGAACGGACGCAGTTTATTTTGTACTGGGTACCCTGCTCACTTCTGCCAGCGCCCCAGTTCCCAGGTTCTGGAGGAATTTCCGAGGCCTGTATCTGGACACATCCTGCCGTTGAGCGGAGCGGCGTACACAGCCTCTCTGGTGCTGTGTCCCCGCTCTCCCTGGCTGTGTGCAGTCAACCTCCAGCTCTCCGGAGCCTTTCCTTGCGTTTTTCCCTCTGCTGGCCCCTTTTCCCCTCACATCCCCTGCCCTGGTGCTTTCCAGCTCATCAACTCTGATCTTTTCTGAAGTGGAAAGTAAATCAGGGCTAAGTGTCAGACTGTCTCATTTTGAAGACTGATGTTCAAATAAAGGCTTTCCCATCCTATTTTAATAATGTCATTAAAGCACTGTCAGTAGAAATTTCTCGCTTGGTGGCATATGCTGGGGAGGAGCTCAAGTGGGAAAAGCCCTAAGTAAACACCAAATGATGGAAAATTATGTAACTGGCCCAAATGGGCTAATTAAATTTCCAGTATCGAAGAACTCTTCTACCCTACTTGGTAACTGCAGGCACTTTTTGCAGGGTAAGGAGAAAAGCAGAGTGGGGGGGTGTATTTAGTGCAGGATCATTAGCAGTGTGTAGGTGGAGACAGGAAGATGGATGACCACAGAATGGGCAGCACAGGAAACGGCCGCAAAAAGTCAAGCGGCCCCAGCTGATTCCCTCAGAAACTGTGCCGGGAACTCCGGCACCCCCGGCACCTCCCAGCACAACAGCATCGTCGTCACTGACGGCGGGAAAGCCATCCTGGAGGTGAAGCATCCTGTGTCTGCCAGGTGCAGTGACCGCCTGCGAGCCACCCTGCTCCTCGGTGGAGCCTGGATGAGACTCTGCTTGGCCTCAAGATTTCCACTCGTGGTGCTCGCAGGTGCTGGAAGGATCTGGTGAAGTGCTGAGCAGGTCCAAGAGGTTGTTCCCGGCCGGCTTCTGCCGGGAGGACTGCCTCTCCTTGGGGTTTCTCCACGATCAATCCAGAGCCCTGCTGTTAGACCCAGCTCTGTGCATTTAGTGAGATTCACAGGGCTTGAAAGGAAATGTAAAAATGGCCCTTCTCCAAACACTGCAAAGCTAAGGGTAAATATCAGCATGGTAAATATTTTTTCATAATGGTCAATATTGTTTTTAAAAGGTTGTGTCTGGCGAATGCTGGATGTGTGAATCTAATATTCCTTTGCTGCTTGTAAAACAGACTGTTCAGCACTTGAGTATTTATTTTCATCGGCTAAATGGTTATGAACATAATTTTGATTTTTTTAACTGATCACGTAAGACTTGTTGCGTAGATGATTGGTGCTTGTACACTTGCTTCGAAGCATGCCTCTCTTACCGTGACTCGGGTTTCTGTCGAAGGGGAAGATGAAGCCAGCCCTGACCTCGGCTTTGAAACCAGGCATGGGCTCCATCTCAAATCACAGCTATTTCGGAAATGACACAGCCTCCTCTGAAGAGCAGTCTTTTTCTTTGTTCGACATCCATATTTTGGTGCCTGTGACTATAATTTCCATCATCCTGTTTTTCTTGGGAGTTTCGGGGAATTTGATAACGATAGTCATTTTCAGACGCTCGCAGGAGATGAGGACGACAGTGAACATGTACCTGTCCAGCATGGCGCTGTCAGACCTGCTGATTTTCCTTGGCCTGCCTTCGGACCTCTACCGCCTTTGGAAGTACAAGCCCTACATATTTGGGGATTTTCTCTGCAAGTTCTTCATTTACCTGAGCGAAACGTGCACGTACTGCAGCATCCTGCACATCACCACGGTAAGCGTGGAGAGGTACTTTGCCATCTGCTTTCCCCTGAAAGCCAGAGCGACCATCACCAAGTGCCGGGTGAAACGGGTCATCCTGGCGCTGTGGGGCTGCTCCCTCCTGACCGCTGGCCCCATCCTCTTCCTCTTCGGGGTGGAACACCCTGACGGCAGCCTGCCCCAGGAGAGCCGGGAGTGCAGGTCCATCGAGCGTGTGGCCCGCACGGGGCTGCTCGAGACGATGACCTGGGTTTCCACCATTTATTTCTTCCTGCCAATGCTGTGCTTGACTCTGCTGTACGGACTCATCTGCAGAAGGCTCCGGCGGAGCGGGCAGCGGCTGCCGGGCTGCCGGGCTGCGGGCAGGAAAAGGGCCCACATGCAGACTGTCAAAATGCTGGGTAAGAGCGGGTTAGAAACCCCATCTGAAGAGCTGCCCTCTTTAATCGCTCCCACGGGGCATACAGCAATGTGGGGACTGATGGAGAGGAGGTACAAAGTACACAGGGTTACACTGGTTTAAAATCAACGGATTTACACTTAGTTTGTGTTCCTGGCTCTTTCTGGTAAGAAGGAGAGTCCCGACTGCAGGCTCTTCAGGCTAGGGCTCTTACTGTGTAGGAAAGCAGCAGCTCAGGGTGGCTTTTGGTTGTTGAGATCGCATTCCTCATGTGTGTGTATGTCCCTGCCCTTGCTGACCCTTAGATTTCCAGTTTAAAGAAATTGGAAAATTCTGTGACTTAAACGCAGACCAGGCACTTCCCTTGCTGTGGCAAGGAAAGGTTTTAAAACAATTTTCCCCTGCAAAACTTCTCAAGCTTAGTGACTACGGCTGTCTAGGATGGCAACCTCCCACCTATCTGGGCTTACTTGAATGTGGACTTTGTCCCCTGCCAGCTGGTACCCATGCTTCAGTGCAGACACTAAAACCAGGCGGGTTTGGGTCCCCTTCCTTCCTCCCCATCCCTCCACCTGCTCCTTTCTTCCCCCTTGTTTTTTGAGATTACCACTAACCACAGCACAAAAGTAGCAGAGCAAGGCAGGAGGTTTTGTCGTTGCTGGGTTAAGTTTAGCAAGCTCCTGTCTTGGTCCTTGAATAGTTTAAAGAGGCAAAATAAACTCTGCTCAAGATGACTGAAGCATGCTCTCTCCCTCTTTAGCTGTCGTAGTCTTGGCCTTTGTGCTGTGTTGGCTCCCATTCCACATTGGCCGAATCCTCTTCGCCCAGAGTGAAATCATCCTGTATGACCTCACACAGTACTTCAACCTCATCGCCATGCTTCTCTTCTATCTCGGGGCTTCTATAAACCCCATACTTTACAACATCATGTCACACAAGTACAGGAAAGCAACGAGCAAAATCCTTCACCATAAGCAAACTCAGCGCTGCAGGAGCCTGACCAGGAGCGAAAAGGTTTCTTTGGAAGGTACAGAACTAGGTTCTTTCACGTCAGCTGTTCAGCATTGACTAAATTCTCACAACCCAAGCATTTTGCCAGCTGTGTTGTGGGTTAAAACCCAGGTAGACTGTGCACATGCAGACTGGAACAAGTTTTAAGGCTGTGCTTTCGGCTTACCTCTCACTATGCATTTCCTGAAGTAGGTTTGGAACATTTTAGGAAGGTTGGAGTCAGTTTGTGTTATTCCTGCACACAGGGGCAGGCTCGGGGGGGAGGCCGGGCTATTCTCTTCTCTTCGGTGAACTTACCAGCCACAGTGTCCAGCTTAACTGTCCACAATGCTCCTGTGAAGGGATTTGTCTCTCTTTTTGAGGACCAGACATTTTGTTAATCACAGACCTGTGAAAAATAATTCAAGTTACTTTCTTCTCACAGAAGCCAAGAGAATGTGGATGTTAAAACCAGGCAGCTGTTTGCTCCTAGCAAGTAAGCGTAAAAAAATACCATGTGTAAGGTACTTGAAAATGGTAAGAAATAACTAATTTTGTGGGACTATGAACACAATGCCTTCTTCCTCAAGGCTGATGTATCGCTCGCCCCTCAGGTCCCTTGAGTTGCTTCCCTCATTTCCTGTCTTTTATCTTGTTCTTTATTCAAACTATACCTGGCTTTCTGCAAAGTCAGACCCCATCTCTGCGGGAGGAACCAGTCCTTGCCTTTAGAGCTCACCTGAACAGGCCAGGGATGAATTACACAGGTGGAGGATTGCTGGGAGGGAAGCAAGAGCAAAGGCATTTGCCCCTCTCCCTTGCTGGTAAACCAGGCAAACAGAGCCCAGATCACCAGTTCACACAACACCCGCCTGACCTCACGTGAAAGGGTTCGAGGAATTGCGCTGCTGAGTGCCCAGGCGACACAGCTCTTGGCAAAGAGGGGAGTGTTGGGCTAAGGCTCCCACAAATTACTTTTCTTCCAGAAAGATGTAAGTCAGCTCTTAACGACACAGAGTAACAACGCTGAACGTGGTTGTTCACCTTACACTACATACTACACAAATGACTGCTCCTGATTCAGATTAAAATCCACAAAAACACACAACAGCCCTGTGGTCAAATTTGAATACATTTGTATTATTTATTGGCTGTATTAAATATATTATCTATTTGATAGTTACAATTTAGTAATACAATGCATGGCAGCTTTAACATAAGTTTGAGATACCTCAAAATTACAATACAAGAAAACTGAAGATACCTAATACATTAATGCCATTAGGGTATATCGTTCTGGAATGGATAACAGCTGATGCAAAATCTGTATTGTGGTAGGCTTTCCCCGATATCTTCTGGAAATGTGGCAATTTTGTGGCAATTGCAAAAGAACTTTCTTTCACTTTTTAGGAGTCATGACTTGTTAGTATTTATTCTGCAATCCTATTTCATCTTTTAAAATTACCAGAAATATTATTGCCAAATAAACCTCTACAAACTTTGTTCTAAGAGTTAAAGAAATAACCCTTTGGCAATAGAGATTTGCTGAAGGCAGTCTTATTTGCTAAAAATAGACTAAGAAGAGAAATAAAGACAGATTGTAAACTCTTCTGCAAACTAAAGACTAATATCTGTATAAAACTCTTTCCAACACTGGAGGGAGAGATTTCTATTATATAATAAATGATTAACTTAAAGTTCTGCTACAAGTAGAACAATACATTCAAACATACATTTTCCAGGACTTTTAATCAAAATAAATAGAGTACAAAATGAAGAGTACATTTTGAAAAGATTAATTTCAGATTGCACCATAAATCTACTTTTAAGAGTATTAAGCGATACTATGTCATAATTTAGGTTTTCCACATCTGAAATACAACACAATGCCTCAAACTATAACGCAACATTATTCACCAACTGCCATAGGAGAAAGACCCTTAAAGTGATTAATTACTGGAAATACTTAGCCTGTAGCACTATCACATCCAACATTCCACGTACAAGTGCATTGCTCTGATGTATATAAAGTGTAGCTGTAGTCTTTGCAGAATACGCTAAATCTATGCTTCTATAGCATGTTCCAAATGCTATTGGGGAAGACCCATTCTGAATCACATTTGAAATTTGTGAGTTCCAGCTTTCAAAATATTGGATATAAAGAAGACAGCTGTCAGACTCATCTTCAGGTATTCACAAGCAGATTTAACAAGAACAGTCATATGTAGTGCACAGTGTCCACAAAAAATACCCCCCAGACAAACAGGACGAGTTTCAGAAAAGTTCATAGCAGGCTGAACATTCCCATCTAGAAAACAATGGAATGTGAAGCTGCTACCACTGGGATAGCAAGTCATTTAAAACATTGTATAAATGTTATCTAAAAAGAGTTCTTTCATGTACAATTTGATAATTCAGATTAAGTTAGAAGGGCATCCAAAAGCAGTTTGAGCTTTTTATTTTTAGGTTAATAATAGTACAAAAACATTTGCTCAGTTTGAGCCAAATAGTGTAACATTTATCATAAATGCACTCTTTCTCCTTAAAGACAATACCTGTGCTTTTCTGAAAACACTGCAAAGATTTAATCAGAAGCACAGGAAATTACTTTTCTCTCAGGCACTGAGAGTGAAATGTGGATTGGGCCAACAGCTGCTCACCAACAGCAGAAAGCATTTCATTCAGAAATGTACAATACAAAAGGGGCCTTTCCTGCCATGTTACATACAAACGCCTTTGCTGTATGTACATTACGTCCTGCTAACGTTTCATCTAGCGTTTTGATTAAAATTCTAAAAATGCTGGCACCCTCTACTTTAACACTTGAAATGATTATTACTGAAACCGAAATATTAAAATAACTGTAAAGTAGTAACATCGCTAAGTCAATATTCTGCTTCCCTTCTACAGTATATTAAATGTGGTATGCTCTAGTAATGTTTTGCAAGACAGTACTGCTCTAAGCTTAAGCATTTGTGCTGCTGTATTTCATGTATACCAAGCTACAACAATACCTGATTAAACACTGCGGATCGACTACCACTGCTCTAGTTGTACTTGAAAGGACTTGTTCTATCAATGCCTTCCCTCTCTGCCCGGCCAGAGGGCCCCACTTTGAATTCGGAGAGAGGAAGAGTGGGCACGCACACACACCAGCGTGCACAATAAGGCAGTTTTTTTGCTGTTTTGTTAACAGCTAACCCTGATTACAGAGGACCCAGGATTACCCTTTCTACAAGAAATCTGTGTTCAGTATTTGGAAAGGATCTGCCAACCCAGCCTCACTGTTAGCCAGCAGCAAACGTGGAAATGCATGGAACTATACATTTCCAGCTAGGATTTTAATTAGAACTAACCATAAATACCCGAAATAGCTTCTGTACAAAAAGCTGAGTACTGAATAGGTTCTTGTCTACTTGATTACAAAGTACTGAATAACAACAGCAAATAAAATAGCAACCACTGCAAATCCGCAGAGAAGAACGATAGCAATGAAGCGCTCTTCACGTAATGTCTTCTTCGTCTCCGCCAGCTCTGTCGTCAAATCAGCGCACGGTGGAACCAGCTCTTGCTTCTGAGATGAGAACACTGTGCTGGGACTGTAAGGTCCGTACAGTTCTTGTGATCCAGTAGAGTCTTGGGACTGACGGCCAGCGCAGACTCTGACCCGATATTCACAGTTTGTCTGCAAGCTTGCGAGACGGAAGGAGGTCTCTGGTCCCTTGTATACCTAGGCAGGAGGGGGAGAGAACCACTTGACGTGGGATTCATCTTACAAAGGGTACGCGATACTTTCCATTCTGCTTTATGAGCACACGCCGTGCTGGACACTGCCTGAAGTCGTTCGCTTCAAACCAACGTAATAAAATCTCAGCTTGTTTCGGAAGAATTTACGATTCATTTTTTTGTGAATAATCCAAAGCTTCCTGCTATGCCCCACGCAGACCGAGCTGGATTGTGAAGCTCAGAAAAAAAATAAAAACCCCATTGTCCCGCACAGCTGTCATTCTGTATAGCTCCCCCACAAATGTGGGGCAAGTGCTATCTATGACTAGCAAAGACAGTGATGCCAGAGACCGTAAGTTTTAAGAATCAAAGGAACCAAGGGAAGTGCAGTGCTGGAAGAACAGGATAAAACAGGATTAACCCACTTCTAGATAACCAGCTCTGCCCAGGACTCTCAAGCCTGCTTTGGCAGTCATTTGCTTTTACAGTAAGAAGCAAAGGGCCAACAGGGAACCGAAGCTTTATGATCTTTCATCTGGGGTGACCTTTGATGCCGTGAGGAGGCAGAACCCTACACTGGAAGCTGTCCTCACTTATCATAAACGTGAAGTCTCACTGAGAGGAACTGACTGAGATGTAAAATGAAGCACGCTGGCAGTCGGGACTGTAAATAGAGTCTCTTGCTGACGTGAAAAGTATCCCTGTCACTAGCATCACCAAAAAGAATTTCTACCTTCAAATACAGACATCTTGTTTTGCCATCATTTTTCAAAGTAAAAAACCCCTCAAGTTCACTATGTTAAATGAGGTACCTGATCAAACTCTCTCCCAGCAGTGAGCTGAAGGATGTAAACAATGGAATCTCCTTTCATCGGCTGTAAAGGTTCCCATGTGATTTCGTAAGTGTTTTCTTCCAGCTGATTTGCTTTGGGTGCTAGAAAAAAGTGATTTGTTGGTATTTTAGAAAAAGAGAACAATGGTCTTTACAAGTGTTCTTATTTTTTTCAATCAGAAGAAAAGGTCCAAAATGGACAATTATTATTACAGTGACTCATTTTCACAGTTGAAGTAACAAATGGGTGCTGGTTTCAGTGACAAGGAAGTTCTCTCACTCTGGCTCGAAGCACGCCTTGCTTCTGTACGGTCTTGATTGAAAACGTTTCAGTTCTAATGCAAATGACTGGGCAGTGTAAATCTAAAAGCTTAAGGTTTTTCCAATGTATTTGTTAACAAAGTGGAAGTAACAGTCATTCCAGTAATTTTAAGCAATTAAGATTTGTTTCATTCTATTTTCTTTTTATTTGCTGTATTTCATGACAAGCTTCAATAATCATTGTAATATTTCTCAGTTACACTTGTCTGTCTTTTCAAACTGACAAGTTAAGCTTCTGACATCTAATGCTTGTACAGACAAGCAAACATTTTCAAATCACTACAGAAAACAGCATTTATGTCTGGGTATCTCCAGAGCTGAAATTACGTATTATAAACATGGTTGAGTCAACTAATTTTCCTGCAGGCAATTAGCATTTTGATCTTCAGAATGACTTTCTTTAATGTCAATCTTTATTGTTCATATTAGAAACTGCAGATCAGAGGAGTGTATTTGTGTTCTCATTTGCCTGTGTGCTGTTGTAACTGACACCAAGTGACAGATAACCCTGAAAAATGACTTTCCAGTTGAAAAAGGGTAGAAGAAATCCTCACTGTCTGGGGTAGAAGAGCTACGGTGTAGATGGCCACACGCTGGTCCTACACCAGTAGAGCCCTTCTTACACCAAGATAAAGCCCATCACAGCCAGTTTCTGTTCTCTCTCTGTCCCACAAAGGCCCTGGAAAGACGCTGGGCAGACAGGTTGTAGCATTCAATCTGGTATGTAAATAGCTTGCAGCCGTTTCTAGTGCAGCGAAAGCTCACCTTTAAGAGGTGCGGGTGGAGACTTAGTTGTAGTGAAAGCGTAAACTTCAGAAAACCCTCCCTCTCCAGCATCATTATATGCCTGGATTTTAAAATAGTACGTAGTAGATTCACTGAGTCGCTGTACCTTGTATGTATGACAAGGACCATTATAAACAGTAACAAACCTGGAAGAAAAACACAGAATACACACAAATTAGAATTTTTCAGTAATCACGAATTTGTACATTGCTATTGTAAGTGGAATGCTTTCATATCTAATAACCTCAGTGCAAAAAAACCCCGATACATGGCGGGTGCCCCAGCTTTGTACACGCATGCACGATGAACGTTAGGCAGTTTGAGCTCTGCTATTGTCATCAACTGTTCATGACGTGCATTCCATCAGCACCACGCACCATTCACACTGGTGGAAGCCTTAATTTACATTCACAAAGCATTCCTCCAGCCTGCCCAGGCACTGAGCTACAGCCATACCCAGGCTACTGCTGAAACTACATCACCAAACTCTTGATTTGAATCGAGAGTAACCTTGTATATACCAGGTAAGTTGCAATTTCAAGTTAAAGAAGAGCTGTCAACCCCATGTTTCGTATATGCAAACTGGACTTCATTTTAGAATTGCCAAAAAATAAAAGAACTGGCAATATAGGAAGATGGTAAGATACTGCTATTTAAATAGTAAATAGTATTTACTGTTTACAAGTAAATACTAGTGCAACAGCTATTAACAACATTTCTGACTGAAAGATGGGATGCAAAAATGCAAACTTTGGGACGCCCGAATGACGTACCAGTGTAAACATAAGTGAGAATACTTCAAATGTTTTAAAAGCTTGGTATGAAATTGTAAAGCAACAATATCCTTCATGTTCTGAGTAACTTACCTGCCAAACCTGTCCTCCATCTGCAAGTTGAATTGTGTAGGGTTGGTAATTAAAGCTCTGCTAGGACCTTCACCCCATTTAAGTTTAAGGCTCTGGTAGCTGAAGACCACACATTCAAGATGAGGAGGGTCAGGAGGTAGTGGTTTCGTTTTGGCTTTAATGGAATGACTGAAAGGACCAACTCCAAGGCTGTTTATGGCCTGTATTCTAATTCTAGAAATGCAAGAAGAGTAGCTGTATGGTTAATTTACTGAGGGCCTGAAAAAATGCTGGATAATAAAGCAAGAGTTATAATTTATAAAGAATATAACTCCAAACAATAAAGCAATTAACATGCAGTTAGAAATTAACTATAGAAATAATCTACTTCAAAACAAGTCAACGTAATTACATTGCTTTCAACATAATGAAGCTTCAGTACTTCTCAGTATTGTTCAGGTTTATTCTGGTCAGTGAACAAGCGCCCAGGTCCTCCACATTGCCCTGAACTGTTTGCCTCCCACTGACACTGAAGATCCATAATCTGAACTAAGCTTGAACCAAGACGAAGCATGCAACACAGGAACAGCTACTCTACTCTTACCTGTACATTCATCCTCTTTTGGCGAGATACTGATCAATCCCATTATATGCATTGCTTCGGAATAAAAAAAATCTAAAGCCTGAAAACTTAGAATAAAGCCTCAGCTTTAAGACAGAACGTTCATCTTAACACAGCAATCTTCATTCTTGCCACTACTAAAACATCACGGTTTGATTCTGGATATTAAAGTTTGTTTTTTTTTTTTTCCTCAGAGCTGCTGTGTGAATTAGGCAAACAGTCTGTATATCGAATTAAAAATTGCTCTAAAAATCTGAAATACTACCCTCAAAGCTATTGATTGAAAAGCTTATAAATGTGGTTTCAGAATAAAACCATTTGTTATTACCTGTACAGAGTGTCAGGCAGCAGATTCTCGAGAACATGGCTTGTACTTCTTCCAACAGTTACAAGCTGCTTTTCTCCATATTCTATATTATATCCAGTGATCTCTGACCCATGACAACATGGTTCTTCCCATTGAATTGCAAGGCACGTTGATAAAGGAAGAGAAATTTCCATTTGATCCTCTTCAAGTAAATGCAGTACTGACACTGCTGCAGGCACTGATGCAGGGGTTGTCACCACACCGGTCTCGCCAAACAAACCAACTCCAGCAACATTCACAGCCTGAGACACACACCACATTGTTTACTGCATCTACATTTTTCTAACCAGACAGTCATATCTACCACGCTTCCTTTTGCCCCAAACCCAGGACATTATTAAAAGCAATTTGGAAAAGAATGGAAGATGTCCCACATAAAATGTAGATACGGCAAAATATCTGGTATTTAATGCAACACTAGATCTAAATTTCATTTACAGAAACACAATTAGGAGGAACAAATGGAGAAGGGAAAGACTTTTTACCAGTCACCTTCTACATTGCATTAGTAGGTGACAGTGTGTAATTTTACTCATCTCCAGCTGAAGTTCCTCTTCAACCTGTATGTACTTGTGTATATTTGCTTAGTAACACGGAACAAAAGGCTTTTCATACCTGGACTCTGCAATAATATGTGGTTGCAGGTGTGAGACCTTTTACTTCATAGGTCTGGCAGGGGCCAGTGTAAATGATATGCATCGATCCTTCCACCTGTCCCCAGTCCAGTCTGTACTCGCTGATCTCTGCACCGTTGCACGCAGGACTCTGTGAGTTTAAGTGATAAATTTTTCTTCAGCTACTGCACACACGTTTACCATACAAGTGTGATCTCCTGTTACACTGAACAGAGACACTGAAAGAGAAGCACTGGGATTGAAACCCCAGGTCTCTTCCACCACAGTCAAGGGCATGATTTTAAGTTCAGCTTGTCAAAAGGCTTCCATCTAGACACGTGGCCATACCACCACAATTCAGCCCAGATTTTGAATGACTCACAATCTCTTACTACTCGGATGTACTAGGTATACTGTATATTAGTTACCATACTGTAAGGAGGATTGAAAGTCACATAATTTATTCAGTTAAGATGGAAATTTATAGTTGACAAAATTTACGAAACCACTGCTTACCTCTAAAAAGAAACAGGCTTAAAATATTCCAACCTCTACAGTTCTTATTTCTTCCATTTCTGTGTATCATACATGTGTCACTACAACTCTAAAATATTAATTTGTGTATTACTGAAAATCATTAACACCTACCTCCCATGAAACAACAGCACAAGTTGCACTTTTACAAGTTATCAGGGGTTTGCAACATTGATCAGGGGGTCCTGGAGCAGTGGAGATCTCTGCTTTGTCAGAGTGAGGGCCAAACTGCAAGAAAATACAGTTGCATGAATACAGCAACAGAAGTAGAACAAAAACTGATGTAGAAGTGTACAAGCTGAAGAAAACAAATTATTTTTAACTTGATAGAGAAATAAACAGAAGAGTTCAGTGCTTAATTTCACAGCATCGTTTAAAATTCCTTTCAGGCAGTTTACTCTATAAACTGGCCCTGTGCCTACAGGATATCTGCCATCCTCCCACTAACTCCCACTGCTATGGTTTTGTAACTCCTCCTTCCCCCCTAGTCAAGATCTGCCTTCCAGAAGCAGCTGGGTGCTGTTTCAGACAGACTTTTATGCAACCAACATTTATCCCAACCTTGTTCAAACCTGGCATTATTTGAACACGCCCCCCTCTACACAATACCATTCCCACACCACCGACCTGCAGAGGCTACACTAATTGTAAAACATCAGGCAATTTCTCAAGGCACAAACTTTTCAGTGGCTATTCACAGCCAGAAATGGAGGGTTTACACTGCAGACAAAGAAATGACTAAGAGTAGTAAGAGAATGTCTAGCACTAACTTTGGACTAGTTACCTTAGGTATGGCAGTAATCCAGTAAACAACAACAGAAATGCAACACACAGTGAACATCCCTGTAGGGCCCTTCAGCCCTGATTTAATGAATCTTCTTCAAATCATTTTTTTTATGCTGTAAGAAATTTTGCTCCTTCAACAGAACTATGGCAGAACACAGAAGCTACAAAATATCATCAGGCTTGTAATACAATAATAGTATAATTACTATCTTTTGTGTAAAAAAAAAAAAAATTGATCTCATTAGCACAGTGGTTACCCCAACTTTATTTGCTGCTCGTATCCAGAAGCAGTATGCTCTCCCTGGAAGCAGATTGTTTACTACATATTCAGATGCTGGACCCTGGTACACTTGTCTGCGTTCATCTTGTTCAGAGTTTGCCATCTCTATAACATATTCTGTAATGTCGGAACCTCCATCTACAGGTGGTGGGCCTATGAAATAAAAAGAGATATATTTTTTCCCCTGTTAATTTCACAAAGCACCTTTTCTTTTAAGCACTCACTAGTAAGCCTTCTCAAGCTAAAAGTTGAGTCAGAGGAATTCTGAAAGTTAGTTCACAGGCTTTTATCATGTATCTGTGCAGAAACACTCCATAAAGCTTGCTTTTTTTCTGCCCAGATATTGATAGACTAGTTTAAGATGGCCTTCAACAGTTTTTCACATATATTTTTCATGTATTTCCTTCAAAAAACAGTGTATCTTCATTACTTTTTGATGATTTCCTTTATTGAGATAAAAATAAGAAAAAGGAGGGCTGATTTTTAAATTGCCAAATGTGTGTCAGCAATGAGGCAGTCAGCAAGCTTTCTCACTGGAAGACATTTATGTCTGCTTAAGTCTCACCATATCATTGCACATCTGTGCATCACCAAATCAGAGGTGATTAGCAAACGCTGGTGGTCTTAAAAAAAACCCAAACAACTAAGGAGATGGACTTGTGGACTACATCTCTCTCTCTCTATGTGTGTATATATATATATACACATGCACACACCACTGCTTTTCCCCCCACCCTGAATAGTTCTACAGTTTTTTCATTTGTGTTATAACATTTAAAATCAGAAAAGTATTTTGCTCAGAAACACTGGTGCTTACCCCACTGTAAAGTGATTTCCTTGGGCTTAGATTTGCCTGCCAGGCATGGAGCACGACACGGTCCAGGAGGAACAGCTGATGTTGTAACAGTCATAACATCAGAAGCCTAGCAGTAATACACGTTATTTTAGAGTGGAAACACAAACAGTATTTTGCTAAAACATAAAAAGAAATGGTTTCCAGAAGCAAATATATTCTAGTTTTTCTCACCTGGCTTTCACCACCTTTACTGACACAATAAACTCTCATTCTGTATGAAGTGCCAGGCTTGAGATGATCACATACATGTTCCCTCTGGGAACCACTGTATATGGTGTCCCATTTGCTTCCTGAGGAAAGAAAATACTTTACACTACAAAACTTCTGCAAAAAAATCAACCTTGAAAATTCTCTCACACAATTATTAATTGGTAGTCAAGCGACAGAATCCAATTTGAATGATCGATTATGCAGAGAACACATACAACACAATATACACATGTGAAAATAGAACAGTACTTGCTAGAGCAATGAGTAGTGAATCAGTACACTGAACTAGCACACAAGCTGAATTAGTAGTTAAAGATGATTGCTCACCAACTGATGTGTCTGAGATTTCCAGAAAGTATTTAGTAATGTCTGATCCTCCATTATCTTTGGGTGGTTCTGAAATAAATCAACATCTTAAAATAAATCCCAGAAGATTCAAAACCAATGCATTATTCTGTTATCAGCCTTTTCAAAGACCATATTCATTCATTATAGAGTCCATTCAAGCAGAAAGCTCAATTCAAACAGAAACAGAAAACTGTATACTTATATATTCACAATACGCTTTCCAGAACAATTTTGTTTTCTATTATAATCATGATCATGCCAGGAAAAAGACTAATTAGGAAAATATTGCCAATTTCAGGTATCATATATATATATTTTTTTTTTAAGAACACATAGAAATTATTTAAGCATCACAGTAAATCCAGCAGCTATTACAACAGCCAATAGTACTGGCTGCTTCTCTAAAATGAATGAAAAAACCCCAATACTTTTGTACTAGAGCCCCACAACAAACCAAGCTGCAATTTTCTGGTAATGCAGTATTTCTCCTGCAATAACGATATCTGCAGACACAACTAAGTAGCCTGAGTTTGCCTCTGTTTCTTAACCTGCATTATTGAGTGACTGTACATACACAAGTGTGTAAGCAGCACTCAAGTACAGCCTTTACAAAAGGTAACCTACCCCATGTAACTTTCACACTGTGCGAATGGATCTTGCCCTTTACAGTTGGTTTACTTGGTGGTCCAGGTTTGTCAGGATTGGTGCTGTGTTCGACCACCTCACTAGGGCTACTTTTTCCTTCACTGTTGTAGGCAAAGAGCTGTTTCAGGAATGAAAAGAATATATAGTAAATGCTTTATTTAACAACAAGTAATATCCTGCTGATTTACAAAATTAATTCTTCTGTGAAAAAAAAACAAAACAAAACAAAACAACAAACAAAACCCCCAAAAGATAACAATTTAAAAGAAAACAAAATTAGCTACTGCACCAAATCTGATTTGTATTGCGATTCCACCAAACCCTATTACGACAACAAAGGTACTGCAGGTAATTTTCTGCTGTCTCCACAGAAAGTGTTTTAGTTGTATGAAAATGCTAAAACTCCAGAAAAGCATACAGTCATAATTAAATCAGGAATAAAATATAGTACAGACCCTAAACTTATAGGATGTACTCCTCCTAAGATTTCTTAAAGTGCACGAGAGTTCATCTCCATTGTACTGTGGTTGGAAACCATAACCCTGTAGAGGGGGGGAAAATAAGAACAAACGCAGTCACTAATTTTCCACAATAAAATAAAAACCAGATCAGATGGATCACATTTTTTCTTAGCTTGAACTTCATCTTTGTTTCATGAATAAATGCAATACTTGCCAACAGTTACACTATTTTGCAGCATTTTATTTGAAAGTAAAACACAGAGTTAATTTTTTATTTAAGCACTACTGCACATCAGGCTTTTCCACATATAACAAAACCCAGCACTTACAGAACCTTCTTCTTCCACGTCTAAAGTGTAAGTGAGAGAGTCATCTGAAGACACCCCGTTAGGTGGGCACCACTTCACCGACAGCCAGGTCACTCCTGCTTCAACGAGCACCGGGGGCGACGGGGCTGGTGGGACAATTCCCGCTGTATAGTACGTCACTGTCTCACTGAACCCACTGGAAAAGTATTTTTAAAACGATGTTAACTACAGCAGACATAGTTGATGAGCAAATAAATTATATGATATATTGTGCTCATTACCTCATTCCAATATCATTTTTAGCAGCTAATCTGAGCGAGTATTTTGTAGAAGGAGAGAGTTTGGTAAGTTTATACTGCTTCAGATGCCCGTAGTAGCATTCTTTGAAGGATCCATTCTTCCCCTTTAAAAAAGTGAAAACAACCTGAGTCACTTTTCACATGGGGACTGTATGTTCCCTGCTAAGGTCAACTTCTTTACTCTAGATTTTCCTAAACTGCATTTCATTAATTTAATAATAATTGGGGGGGAAAAAAAAAAAAAACCAGAGAATGTAAAAAGCAAATGTCATCATGGCCATACTGAGTACGCTGGTAGTGATCTTGAGCATTCTTGATAATAAAGTCACATTTTGGTTGAGGTACATGTTTATTCTTTGGCACTGTATCTTTGATAAAATGGTAAGAAATGACTGCAGTTGAAAACACAACACTTTTTTGAAGTCTTTCATCACTTTGGAATGCATTTCAGTAAGAAGTTCAAAAGCCGAGTGACATTTGTGACAGCTACCTAAGATACACGCCAAATGCTCATCCATTTAAACAGAGCATAGGAATTAGTGATGCTCTGAATGACAAGAGCCAAATGAGGGAATTTTACACTGTCCTCTCAGAGGGTCTGAAAGGACTGTCTACTTCAATTGCGGCAATACTACTCATTTGAGTCAAGCTTTTTAATTGGCTTGTCCCTTTAAAACTGTCTGGACAGTTGCACTGAAAATAGCTGATGTACCTAAGCAAAAAGTATTTTTAAGTATAATTGGTCTACAGATGTCATTATGACTTTTTTTGCACTAGAAAAGTCTTACCTCATCCCATTCTAAAAGAAAATTAGTTATTTTGGAACCATTGTCATTTGAGGACTGAAAATAAAGAAACAATGAAAAATGTTAAAATCAAATGGTTGAACTTTTGTAGATATTTTTGCACATTGACAAAAAACATTGAAACAATTGAGTATAATATACTCCAACTGCCTTTTAAAACAAAATATTTAGTGTACAGCTGAAAGAAATCTGTAGTAGGCATTCAGACCAACCCTCTTCTTCCACAAACACACTTGGGATAATCTGAAACTCTACTGTGGGCACAGACGCATGTAATCAGTAAAGTGAGTTCAGAGGGGTGAAAACTAGCAGGCATTTTAAATAGTTGAATTCCTTGTTCCTGATGGGTCTCTAGGCTGACATACTACTGCTATTAAGTCTGATAGTTTAGAATACGAACTTATGAACAATGAGGAACATTTGTGCTTGTTATGACATATGAATTGGGAACTTCACTTTCTAAGTACAGATTATACAAATAATTTAACTAAGGTCATTTAGCTACAAACAGTTTTTCCAGGTATAAGCATAAGCATAAGAAAAACACAAAAAGACAAGTAAACACAGTTACCAACAAGTCGTCACAGATCCTGTAGAATTCAAAAGTCTGAATAAAAAACTTAAGTCTACAAACTAGCTGAAGTACAACTTACTTTGAATGGGTGAGAATAACTAGAACTACTGCTGAATTATTGATGTTAAATCGTATCTATTTATCATCCAGGAACCCCAAGCAAAACCAGACATGCTCTATCCTCTCCTATGCTGCTAGTTCAGGAGAGAACCTTCCTACCGAATAGGTCATCGAGAAACCTGCCAGCAACTCTATCACACTAAAGCCATATGCAAGAAACTAAGTAAATGTTGAAAGAAAGAGGAAAGAACAATCATGACTTCAGTTATCACTCTTAACTGAGCAACTTAAAAGCCAACACCTAAAGTACACACTAAATTACTAACAAAGTTAATTTAAGCACACCATACCTGAATACATCAGACTGCTTACCTTCCACTGCAAACTCAGGCTGTTTTTGGTTCTGTTAATTAGCTTCGGTGCAGCAGGACTGTCTGGCTCACAACTTTCTGTGGTGAAACTCACTAATTCTGAAATGGATTCTTTTATGGAACTGCTGGTTGCTGAAACTCTGAACAGAAGACAATTAATTATGATGCTATTGCATGAGCACCTGAAAATGTAAGGAAAGAGTTGTCAGCTTTAGCACAGCATTTAATCACAAGTGGTGGTTACAGCAACAAGACCAGCCTGCTCACATTACATGAAACAAGTGCCTAATCACTCTTCTTCCAGATCACTGATTCTAAAAGACAACAGTTCCATGTCTTTTCATTCAGGAAGAAATAACAAAAAGTGAGCTGATGATGTCACTCCAAGTTCTAGTAACTGATGCCCACATCGTAAGAAACACTACTATCTGTTCTGTGTCCAGGGAGAGAGGGCCATGCTGAGACATCATGAAGGTGCGCTCTCACTGATTTTGAAGACTCCATTTGGCACCCTTCATTTACAATTACTATCTATCGCAGTGGAGATATTTTACTGATGAAATACGTGTGGGAGGCACGATGAAAACTACAGCAAGTGTTACCAAATGGCAACAGAATACCCGATGTGAAATTAACCTTTTGCTAAAAAGGCCTCGAGATTCAAATACGGACAACACTTACTTGTGCAAGAGGACAGATAATAAACTGGGCTAAAGCAGCTGTCCAGGCAGTAAAGCCATGTTTACCATATAATTGTTTAAATGGGATAGAATCTCTAGAACGGTCACACCCAGTCATGTTTGATTTTGAAGAACTAAGACTTAACTAATTTTTCAGAAATACCGTCTGATCAAATGAACTGTAGGTAAAAAAGTTGTCCTGTATGGAAAGCAACACCCCGAACCATACACTATGCTACACTACGCAAGCGGAGCTGTGCTGAGCATTTAAACATGCTCAGGACTCTTCTGCGGTTTAAGAACAAGAGTTTGCTGCAGTACATCTTAAAACTTATGTTCTGTGCCCAAGCACTGAAGCTCTCTCTCCTGCAACTACATCACAGTGTTCTCCTGGCTCGTTTAACCAGCTTGTCTTTTTCCTGACCAGTTAAAACACCTTCTCCAGTAATGCTTATTTACTCTGTGTGGCAATTCTTGAATGTCACGTCTTGTTCCCTTGTAGCACAGTGTCTAACTTCTCCCCATTTCAACCAGTTTCCACTTCCCTTCTTGCACTGCTACAGAAGGTTACAGTTTAGAGAAGCAGCTTTAGAAATCAAGCTGACAAGTCAGACTTGAAAATGCATGTTCAAGGCTAAATTATTTTATTTACCACTGTCTTCAGCCTACAATCTTGTCCAACCTCGTTGTTCTAAAAAATACCAACAGAGGATAACGTAAAGTTTGTATTTGAGAAACGTGAAGAGACAGAGAAGACAGCAGAGAACAAAATGAGTTGACATTTTAATGATATTAGAAAATAAGTGGGAATTTAGGTAGCAACAGTAGCGTCTGCAGTTATGACATTCTTGCAGAATGTCCTTCAAGTTGTTTGTGATCATACCTTTTTCATGAAGCCACAACAATTTTGTAATTAATGTATCAACAAAAGTATTGAGTATTTCATTCCCAGCAACATACCTGGCATGATAATCAGTTGCTGGTCTGAGATCAGGAAGTGTAATCGTTAATTCTTCCCCACTGTGAAAAGGGGAGGGGGGAAAAAAAAATAAAAAAGAGAAAAAAAGAGAGTTACAGCTCTTCCTTATACTTTATAGGATAAAAGCTTATTGAAAAGCAAAACCATGTAGTGCACATTTAATTTTCACGTTTTCCATTGTCCATGTAACTCTTAGTGATATTACTTAAAAATTATTTCATGTGAAGTAGGTAGGTCTGCAAGTCAACATACAGCTCCTGATAGAGAGATTGCTGATTGGTTAATGTTTTTAAATATCGGAATTGTGCTTAAAGGAAGAAACTAAACTTACACATAGACAGATTTAAATTTTCCATTTTTACCACTGTTGGATATTGCTACTTCAAATGTAAATGCTGCTGGACTATGACTATGGCTCTCTCCATTCTGTGAACTAACTGGGAGATTCCAGGACAGAACGGCTGATCTTGCTTGTATATCAGAAACCTATTAAAAGCATAAATAATGCAAGTAAGTTTGCTTTCTGTAATAAAAGGTATATTAGTCAATAACATGGTGTCGCTAGTTTGCCTATGAAGTTCCTCACTGGAGGAATTCTTTACCTTTGTAGTGGAAATAGAGTCATTATTTGAATTTAAATTATTTCATCTAAATTTCTAAAATACGTTAAAGGATTTCCCTTCAAACACTAAACAAACATATAGACACACTACATTGTCTCAGTGTATGAAGAGAAAATTTCTATTTCACCTGCACTGTTTGCATCACTCATTTGGAGCAAATTTTCAGATTTGGAGTCTTGAACACTGACACCTGGATCTATATTTAGGCTCAGTCAGATGGCCTAATGTTCTAACTCTATTACAACTCCCTCACATAATCTTAATATTTGACCAAGCTACAGGATAGCAAGAGGCTCTGATTTTAAGTGCTCATGACTAAAATTTTTGGTCTAAGTTTTTTGCTGCTTAACTCTCAAACTCCAAACTTTCTCTGACAAAGTCAATGCAGCCTTCTATTAGCATTAAGTACAGATGTCAGAAGCAGCAATGAAAAAATAGTACCACAAAGAATAGCTAGAAAGCTGAAGCAAAAGAATACAACCCATGCCTACCGTGCAGATAATGCAAAGAAGAGCTTCATTAAGTATGCTCAAGATCAAAAATATCAGTGCAGTTACAGCCTTTAGAGATTTAAATCAGTACCACCAGACTCCAACTTCCTAAATAAGTCTGTAAATACTCAAATATTTGCTCCAATTTCTAAACATAACATAAAAAGGTGATCTATTTTTTGTAAAGTCTATTCCCAATATTCTTAAATGCTCTATAATGAATGAAGGATGGTTCCAAGAGCGGACAGATTTCCACTGGTTTAGCAGGCCCTGGGTTTGCAATACTAAAGCCGCCACATACACTAGACAACTTCAACAGTGGACATATTCTCAGCTTACAGACGGGGAAACTGAGTCAGACAGAGTGTTTCAGAAAGTTGAGAAATAGTGGGTTTCCACAGCATGGTTGCCCTTTCCCAGCTATAAACTCTGACAACTAAAATACATTTGCTCTATTAAAAAAATAAACCACTAAGAAAAAAAAAGATCAATAAGACACGTGTTATTTTACAGGGAGTATATGCACAGAAAATAATGGTATTTTAAGGATAATACTTACGACTGGCTTGCCAATGCTCAAGTGAATATCACATTTCTTGGATTCTGTGTCAGATTCTGAAATTTCAAATACAAAACAGATTACCGTAAACCCCCAGAGTAAACCAGTCTGTTACAAAAATGCCACCACAAGATGGAGTTCGTCTCATTAAGAGTTTAACAATAGTACTTATTGTGCAAAGTTCATTTCCCCTGTTTGTTTTGGCTGCGTGAGGGGTAGAAACATGAACTATCCAAAACTAACAGTGTTACAAAAATCCTTTTAGTACATCCTGCACAAAGGGTATATTTTCCTAATCTGGGCATAAATGGATTTTCTTTGACAACACAAGAACATTCCTCCAAAAATGAAAGGTGTTAAAAAAATTACAGTAAGATCTTATCTCTCTATTGTATATGCTTTCCTTGAATTTCTATTGCAAAACGCTTCATCTAGGCATCATTTGGAAGAAGCCTGATCAAAACTGCACACTAAAAATACATCGACAATTAATTGTCCATGTCAAACAATTCAGGATATTATTCTGCCCACAAATAAAAACATTTTTTTCCCCTCCAATAAATCTGTATTATGAAAAATCTTTAGCCAAGTATATTTTTTTGTCCTTAAAACAAGCTGGATAAAAGCTTCCATGTCTTCTTACTTCCCAAGACACAGAGTTCTCTCTCATTTCTCTACCCTAACAAGACCATTTGATTTAAAACACATAAAACACTAAATGATGCACAAATTGTTTCAGGAATCATGATGATGACTGCATTTCAGCAACGCTGTTTCAAACCAACAGGAAAGATAAAGATATTGTACACAAGATATTTTAGTATGTGCAACTGAACAGCCATAAGATATTACAAAGCTCAAACAGTCATTTGAGCAAAACAGTTACAACTAATCCAACAGCAACTTGTACAGACAGTTGCTCCAACGTTCCTATCGCTTGAAGTTTTCAGTAACTCCTAGTTATCTGAAAAATACCAGAGAGAATGACACCACAAGTCTTTTATGCAAGTACCCAAAAGTCATCCTTACTTGGAATACTGATCAGCCCCTGGTCAGAAAAGGCAGTGAAGTAAACAAAAGGGTTAAAATTAAATTTTCCTGAAGACCTTATCTGATAAATCTCAAATAAACATACTTGATACTACTGATTTCTAGAGGAAAAAAACCCTAAACATAATGAAAAGTATTTCAGGCTTTCTCTACTCTTGAATAGTCAAAGAAATTTACAAACAAATACATTTTCAGAAACTATTTTGCAATGAGTTATAGCATATTCTGTGACAAAAATAACTAGATTTTTTTTTTTTTTACCCTTTCAGTGCAACCTACCTCCCATCTCTGCATCTGGACTGCCCTTTGTTTTTCCTATCTGCTTCTGCTTTAGTGGTCCTCCTGCCCCTTGCTGTCCCTTTCCATTTCCATTCTGAATTGTTGCATTGGAAGAATTTACAACTTTATGTGGTGAAGATGGAGGACTATTAAGTTTATTATTAGTATGACCACTAGCTTGTCTGTCTTTTAGTCTTTTCTTCAGGTGTTCTTGCATTTTGAGACTCCTTTCATCTCGCTGAATGAAGTTTGTCCTTCCGTGAGAACGAGGTTCTACAAAGAAAGAAGAACTTACTTCATTATTCAGTACAATTAATTTGTCATCTGAGTTAGAAGAATAACTACAGTAAAACCAGAACTTGAAAACTGACAGAGTGTCACTGTGCTTGCTTTGCCAGTCTGTAGATGCACGGCGCTGCATGGCTCACGTGCATCTGTGAAGAGCTGAGGAGCTTCACGGCTGATACTTGGGTGTCTCTGGGCTGCAGAGCAACATGCACGTATCGCTCTGCTGACTGGCTGAGCTTCCCTAGACTTTAGGAACTTCACCTGACAGTTTATGGACTGGGCTCACATCAGTGCATGAGAATAAAGATCAGGTAGTAGAAAGAATGAGCCTGGAGGTTTAATTCCTGTTTTGAAAAATTATCAATGTTAGTTAAATGCTACAGTAAGATATGCAAAATATCTGCAAGCAAATTTCCATTCTTCCTATTTAACTCATATCCAAATTGCTGATATTTTTCTTTTCCTTAAACATTAATCACTTGTTGAGTTTAAATTTAAAAAAACAAACAAACAAAACCAAACCTAATTCTTCACACTTTTCTCTTTTGTTAACTGCTGAAGATTATGCCTTATCAGTTGCCTTTCTTCCCCGATATGGCCATACCCTCAGATTTTCAAAAAAGTGTAAGCAAGTTCAGGACTCAAACTAACTGTTTAAAACATAGCTTGGGTGCTACTGAATATTTTACCCTAGACATGAGCCAAAATATCTTAGTTACCAGTTTAAGCTTGAGAGAGAGTGAACAGTCTTACAGTCTCATTTCTGTCTGTGTTAAATGCTTGTTTATATAAAAAGGCTTACAGCTTGGTTTCATTCAGCAGTAGCCCCAGTCCTCCAGTAAGTATTGCTTCATTCACTCTAAATATTGAGTGACCTTGCACTTCATCCTCCAACATGGATTACTATGTTTTCTGGCTTACATATGTTATTTTTTTCTTTCCAGTCATATTTGGACTCTCTCTTGTCAAAAAAATACATTCATGTATCATATTAAATGCATTTTCAAGAAACTCCATGCCAAGGCTGTGACAAAACACAGCAGTTTTGGAGAGCACAATTTTAGAGAATGGTAGAAGCAATCTTTATGGCATCTACAGTAACAAAAGTAAGGACCCATTAAAAATATACATAGTGTTAGAACACTTCTAAGTTACTGCTTTTACATCAGATCCTTAAAAACAGAACAGTAGAAGATTTAAACTTTATACAATCATACTTTGCACATGCACAGTGCCTCCAGACCAGGTTCCCCGATACCTTATACACAAGTCTATTTTAGGATCCCCCTTAAGACACATAAGGCTCAGGGAGTCTAATAACTAGCACCAAAATAATAGAAATGTCTGAAAGAGCTGCTGACAGAACTCAGCATCCTCAATTGGAATGCACTGAGTGAAAGGCCTTCTCGTGTAATGAAACATCACCTGCGCTCTCACCTTGTTCTTGAAACACGTGTGGTGGTGGATGCTGGTGAATGAACTGTGGTGGCAGCTCTCCTGTCCCAGGAACTGGTGGGTACACTGGGTGAGGTGGGTGGGGAAGCAAAGCATGGTGATGATGCATGTAATGTGGCACATGGGGAGGAGGAGGAGGAGGAGGATGCATGGAAGGATGGAATTCAGCTGAGTGTGGCAATACCACCACTTTACGAACTCCATTTTCTTCCACCACCTGTCATACAATATAAGAAATTCAAAGTTAGTGCAATAACAATCTTACCAATATTGTATGTTTAATAAAGAATCTCTATGCTTAAGTTTATACCCACACTCTGACAGACACACCAAAATGAATCCAAGTGGAAACCCAGCAGATGTTACTGGAAGAAACTGGCGTTTGAGGCAGTTAGTTTTAAGAAGCTGTGCCTGACACACTAAAGTGCTCAGCAATCTATAATTTATGAATAATGTAAATATTCTTTTAAACAAGTAATGTGGATTGATCAGGGTGTAGTTCCCAATCCGCTTGTAATTACAGTTAGAAGAACTGCCCTAGCCCACATCCTGACTGACAGCACTAGCGTACGTACACACAAGTCGCTGCGTGCCACCTGACCCGTGGTACATGTCTGCACACCCGTTCTTAGCCGATGGCAAGTACGAAGTATTACAAGTCAGCTCTGCTGTCTTGTGCTATGACCCAACCCAACTCAAACGTCCAAATATTTCAGGTTTGCCACAGGCTAAGAGAATTCAGACAAGGAACCTGTCTGTGTGTCTGAACTCTGGGATAAAGAGATGCTGAGACAGTGAATGCAGATGTATGCACATGCACACTTCTAAGCATGTGTCCTAAACTGGCAATATATCGGCTCTTTCTGGAGTCTAATTCTGCCAACGTAAAATACATTAATATCTCAATGTATTGCTTTTATTACAGTAAATTTTAAATGCATTAAGGTCTTATACAATAATGCTTCTCTAAATCTTAAAACTGAGAAGAGACTTTGGACAGAACACAAGTTTTCAAAGACAAGGTCAAAAAACACCACCAGAACAGGATTCACAAAAAGATATATTAAACAACGATGACCCTGAAGTTAAACAATGTCCGGTTTAATCTCATCTTTAAGACACCTAGAACAGACAACCAGAGGCTGAGGTTTACAGGGTCCTTTCTCCAGCTAGGGCTCACAGGACATTTGCACTCATTTGTTGCCATTCAGTGGTTACAGCCTATTTTGCTTATCCGAGGGGTTAGTCTTTCAGCACCCACAGTTCTGATGGGGTCAAAGGCTTCCGAGTTGACTGTCATAGAAATCACCTGGCCATATTCTGTATTGTAGCAGAAAAAACAAACTTGAAGTCCACTGGCATAAAATTCAGACTCTATCTAATGAGAAATCTGACTCAGAAGCAAACTAGACTGTATTAAATCCTATTTAAAGGCAGACAACCAATCAATCGCTTTCTCTTCTCTCTCAGACAAGAAATTAGAGAGGTATGAGCAATGTAACTGGAAAAAAAAAAAAAAAATCCATGACAGAAAAATGCTCAATATTAAAGGCAAACCAACACTTCAGAATTCATCAAGTCTCCGTAGGAAAACCAGAAATTTTTCTTAGACTGGTTTAAAATTATTCTGCAGCTTCAGGCTTCCTTCTATATCAGTAATCTCCTCCAAGTTGCATTTAAAAATGCAATTCACAAATGCTATTAGGAAGGGCCCTCAAGTGCTTTGGTATTAACAGGAACAAATCAAGTAGTCAGCAGAAAATATTATCTGTCAATGCAAGCAGGGGGCACATTCCAGCTGCAGGCTGGCATACAGAATTGAGATGCAAATTTATTTTTTTAATGCAATCCATGAAGTAAAGCATAGAAAATAAAGCCTGTTCTTAGAAGGTTCCAAGTTATTTATGTAGCCCTCTGTTACTAAAAATACACACAATTTATATTTTCAGGCATTTAAAGAGAGCACTTACACAAAAGCAGGCAGTATGTTTTATCCTGTTTGCTCCTTCACGATCCTCTCTTAAAGCATATTTAGTTTGGCTATAAGAAATCACCGTAGCATTTCCTAGTTGGCCAAGAAGGCATTACGGATGTTGAAATATTGCCTATGCCAAAAGTACATTTTGAAAAGCTCCTCAGCAAAAAATAGAGTAAACTAACAAGAAATTATTCTTCTGAAGGGAAACAGAATGTGTCCACTCACAAATTGCTATGACAAAGTTCGGCTGTGAGACAACCACAGAGTCAGATGTATTATCAGCAATTCTTAACAGACTTTAAATAGAAGAAAATAATTACAAGGAGAAGTCACTTAAGACTAAGCTTACACTGAATACACTTTGTTCTAGAAACAACGTGGGGGGCTTTTTGGTTCATCAACAGAACTAAATACACCACTTGAACATTCCATAATATTATAACACAGTCAAAACTCATAGCAAATTTTGATGGCTATGTTAACTCTATTTTATGTATATATTAAGCAAGAACACATGGCATAGTTTCAGGCAGAAGGGATATATTAATATAGTAAGACTTTCACATGATTTTATAGTCTGAAGATGCTGTGTCCCTAGTATATCTACTACCAAATTGCTTCATTCTACTTTGGCAAAAAACGTAATTATCTCTGGGCTCCTCCAGATGGATCTGGGAACAGAAAGTTAAAGTCTCAACTACCAACAAGAACAGTATAAGTAACTCAAGCTCTGATTAAAGTTGGTTTCAAACTTGTCTATCCCTGTCATAATGACCAGTGGAAAACAAAACACACACACACATCCCAGCTTCACATGACAGCAAACACAGAACAAATGTATTTTTCAGTTTGTACACCTGAGCATTTGCCAGTGCTTTGCATACTGTTTGCACTGAAGACTTGATTTCACATTGATGCATTATCTGGGGAATCTTTCTTCAGGGTCTGCATGAAAGTACCTACTTATAATAGCAGAAGCACAAAATGCAGAGGCAGCTGTATGCAAAAAGACAACTGCCTGGGGAACTCAAGAACATACAGTTGCAAGGTTTTCAAGTCTACTCAGAAAACTCCTGATTTTCAACATCACTAGAAAATAAGAAACCTAGCCTGTCCCATTTAATCACGTTTTTAATTACTTCCCTTTAAAAATGCATTAATTTAAAAGTAAATCAAATTGGTAACTTCAAATATCTGGTAACAGTTCAAATGCCACATGCAGTTCTGATCTACTATACCTTAACAGCACAGAGAAATGGAAAGTCAGTGAGAATGGAAAAGTAAAGCTCGGAGAGAAGCCGAGTCCTGCTCATTTCATAGACACATGTCAGTAGCATTAACACTCCCCTTCACACTTCTGCTAGAACAGTAGAGTGTTTTGCTGAACGTTAAGGAGATCAGAGCTGGTAAAGAAAGGGGCATTGAAAACTTTGATAAATAGAGTTATATTAGAATAGAAAAATATGAATTATAAAAAAGACATTAAAGAGAAGTATCTTATGCAGTCCAGGGAAAAAAAAAAAAGACTCAAGGGATGAAAGACATAATGATACTGGTATATGACCCGTATAACTTCAATGTAAGAAACATGAGTCTCGTATCCACAGTATGCATCAGACAACGTTCAATTCTGATGCTGCCCCCAGCTATGCTCCCATCAGACTGCTTCTAACAGAGCTAAGTACTGTCTCTACTCATCAGTCCTCTGACACTTAGCAGGCTGCAGTCAACTGGAATTGTTCATATGACCCAGGCACCTACTTTCACCTTGAAAACAAGACTGAAGAAAAAATCAAGATGTGGATCCTGTTAATGAAGCTCAACCGACAGCCAGTTTAGTCACCTACTATCTTACTAAAAGTAATATTTTACTGCCTAGTAGTAGCATCAAAAAAATCCTGAAAACTAGATAAAATTTTACTAAGTGAACAGAAAGTCATAGAGCCTATGTAATGTTAGTTAAATACTTGATTAAGTTCAATGGAAAAAATATGAGAAATGCTTTTAGCAGCTGTTCCAGATAAAATCATCAATAGCCTTATTGTTAAAAAACCACACCCACAAACGTACTGAAATATAAGAATAAATTAAAGTTTACCTGAGATACATAACCGGGAGGCACAAATATAGGCGGCATAGAACCATTTGGTGACATCATAGGAACATGTGCTGGACCTGAGAAGTAACAAGGTGCCACTTTTTAACAAATGAGGCTTTTACAAACTCAAGACACCTTTTTTTTTTTTTTTTTTCAAAGGTGGTGGCTCACTTTGGTACCTGAAAAGCCAGCAACTGCATCCAACTCTATTTATGGAACTACTTTTAGACAAGTAGATTTAGAAGCAAGGCTTAAACCATCCAATTAAGAAGTCAGTTAGGAGAGCAACTTAAATCAGGACTGCGAGTGAAAAATAAGTGACCGTTAACAAGTTTCAATCATGCAAAATAATGCAATTCATGTTGCCGATGGATAACTCACATTCAAAATAAAGTATGATTTAATAACTTCCAGGAAGCTTCCAGAATTTTAGATAATATTGCTGAATGCAAGTATAGCTGTACATTTATTCTACAAAAAGCACAGATAAGATTTATACCAACCACCATGCTTATATAGTCAAAAGTATTTCTTTAATTGTACAAAAATCAACGTAGCTAAATGTTAGTTCTTATTTTGTGACAAAGTTAAAAGTCTGTGGCAACAACACTGGCACTATAGTAATGCTGATGGCTGGGTCTATCAACTTTTTTTTTTTTTTTTTTTTAAGAAGAATATTTTTCACATCAAGCTGAAAGAAGTTATTCCTGTCTGGAATTTGATGAAAGCAGAATGGACACATTTATATAATACAATTTGAAATGGTGAAAAATATTCAAAAAATGGAAGCACTGATAAATTGAACTTGACTTACGGGAGGTATTTTGATCTGATTCAGATCTGCAGTTCTGTCACTTACCCAGAAGGTAAAAAGTGGTGTGTAGCCACACACAGAGGGTAGCAATGCTTCCTACAGTATCAGCAGACTGATAATGCCACTACCTTACAGTAAAGTCACACAGTGTCTATTAAAGTTGTTTAGATTACATGGGATTTAGTCCACACTAAATTCATGTGTTAAGATGAGAAGACAGTTATTCAAGGATCATTACAAAAATAGTTGAGATGCCAGCCTTTTATAAATCAGCAGCAAAGTCTGCAGAGGTGCAAGGAATCTTGGCAATTTCCCAGTGCTGTCTCATTTGTGCTTTAAGTACAAACTGAAAAATCTGATTTATTACACTACAGAACATATAAAAACACATTTGACATTACAGAAACAAATACTAGAAGTGATTCTGTGACATTTGCAGAATCAAAATATTTGGATTCAGTACTTCAGTTTTTGCTTTACCTTGAATACATTGAATGTGTCCATCTTCAGTTGTAATTGTAAATGTTTCACCTGGGTTTACTTGTACAAGAATAACCTGTAGACAACAAAACACAAGACGTGTGGGTTTTTTTTAAATTTTAGAAGTGACCTAGGGGAAAAATCCTATCTCTTCCTTATACCCACATGCTGGATTAAAACAATATAGTTTTGGCAACTGTAGAGAGTAAAAAAGCAAGATGAGAAACACTGATGGGTGAATGAAATTTCTTCATACTTTGACATAAAGCCATTAGTTTTGCATAATCAGTATTCTTCTCTGATTCGTACCAGAAGTGCTTTGCTTGATATACTTGAAATAATTAGCTAAGCTTTTATTTTCAGTAATTTCACACTGCTTTTCCTTCTTTCACTGAAGCAATAAATTACTTAAGATTCACCTTGCTTTCCAAGCTTTGCCTGAGACAATTGTAGTTTCAGGGCTAAATGGGCAAAATCAAGACTATATACACACAAGCAAATTAAAAAAAAAAAGGGGGGGGGGGGGAACAAAGAAAAAAGATGCTCTGCCCAAAATTCAGCCATGTTTTTTCATTGAAAGCACGCTGCTATGTATTTTGACAATATATTCTCCGATGCTATCAAGTAACTTAATAAAGTATGCAGTCCTTTGGGGGTGGAAGGAGGATAGAAGAGGTGATAAAGCAGGTCATGCCTACCACCCCTGCGCTACGGCTCCTGAAAGATCAGGCGCATTTTCTCGCATTTGTGTAATCCTGTAGCTAAAGTAATACAACTAACAGTAAGATTCTGCAGGTCAATTTGGACACGATCACATTCACTTTCACACAAATCAATGTGGACATCTGCCAGTTATTCCTCGGGCACTCTGCAGCATCGTTTCCCTTGTGCTGGGTAACAAACGGTCACCACATTCTACCCCATTCATAGCACGTGCTTCAGTCATATTGTGAAATGGTAGCTGTACTTCAGTTTTATTGTAACAGGACAACATTACTCCAAGAATTGTATAGTGAGATTCTACTACATTACATAGGCACAGGTCTAACTCTTTAGTAAAATGACCGTTTTGGCCATGTACAAACTGCACAGTTACACAGTCAAAATTCCACCCTGGTGACAGCTAGCACATAAAGAACAAAGACTGATATAAAAACTGAAATAAAATATATTTGTAAAACTAGCTATGAAACTCAAAGTACAATTTTCTTTCATTCAATTTTTATAAAGTATTTTCATACTATTCATAGAATGACAAGTATATCAGGTAGATGGGAGCTGAAGAGCTCACCTAGTCATCTAACTCCTGGTAAAAATGAACTATGCATAACATTAATGAATAAAAGCCTGTCTATTTTGTGCTGCTACATCTTCAGTGATGGAGCTCAATAAACTCCCCAGACATCTGCACCAGTTTCACTATCCTGATCATTATAGATTTTACCATCTAACTTCAACATTCCCTGCTTCAATCTGCACCCTTACTCCATGTCTTAACCACCAATGAAAAAAAAGAATAAAGCACCAATCAAAGAAAGATTGTTTTCTGTGATTTAGATGCCACACCCTGTATATAGATACTTTTCGGATTTTTATCTGCCATTTTTTAGAAACAGTGCAACACTGATAACTTCCACTTGCAGTCTTTATCCATTTCTTGGCAGACCTTTTCTGAAAGGACCGCTACTGAAACAGTCATTCCTTATGATAAACTGGCTACCTAAACAGACTACTTGGTACTCGCTGCTAATTTTTTAGATTATCTTTCTAGTAATCAAAATCATTTCAGGCTTCCAGGATGTTTGCAATTCCTCCCATTTAATATCAGCTGCAGATTTAAGTACACCTCAATTCTATTATATTGGTCATCAATAAAAAGATCATTGAAAAGAACGAGACTTAAAAGATCCTGTGGTCCCTCATTTAACCTTTGCATTTTTACTAATTCCACTTACTCCTTTCCAAAGAATTTGCCACATAGCTTATGCCAGCATTAACCAAAACAAAATTTCTAGATTTATAAGAGAATAAGAGCAACATATCCATGTTTCCTGAAGTCACAGCTTATGTCTCCTGCTTCTCTCTCCCTCTATCCTGAGCGTGCAACTTCAGCACAGAAAGAGATTGAGGTTTGCACAGATCTCTTACATTTAAACTGCTGTGCGTAAAACGAAACTCAAAGGAGCAGACAGATAGATGTTGTTTAACGCTGATTTTGCAGCTTAGGCATACTGCTGTATTAATTTTAGCTTTTCTTTTTCAACAGGGGATGTAGAAGCGTATGTAAACTGGAGCAAGGTCTGTCTGTGTGCGTTCACAGTACAGAAGAACTTTACTTCAGGTAGATGAGTTGCTTCTGGACATAAGCAAAACACCAAAAACCCCTGAAAAGGCCATTTAGCTGTTCAGCAATATTTATTACAGTCCCATGAGAAAGACCGGTGACAGATAATACTTTTAAAAATGGCATAATGAAAACACCGAAACTTAAGCAGATCTGTCATTTCAGTATATAGGTAGTATATAATATGCTACTGAATTTCTAGGAGTAAAGAGACAGAAGCAATGTTAATTTTTAAAGAAAACTGACAATGATGGGCTGTGGATTTGGCAGAGCATAAAGAACAAGGGAAGAGGAGGGCTGCTGTGAACCACCCACCGCTGCTGGGAATGGACACTAGCAGGGGACAGGACTCCATAGGCAGGTATTAAACCTCACAGCAAGTCTCATCTTTGAGGGCCAGAAAATTCAGAGGCAGGAAAGGGGTACTTTTAGAAATTCACAGCCTCTGAACCCGTTTGGAGCAGGTTTCAGTTAACTGAAGTTCTCACAAACAGTTCAGGAAACTATTAACTGAACTCAGCAAGAAGGATCATAAGTGGTGTAATCACAGGGCCATAGAGCAGTTCAGAGACTGGAATTTCAGGAATGCATGGGGCAATGTCTTAGAGGAATGACTCACTGTAATTAATGAAGCAAATGCAGTTCCATCTACCTTCCACCAAGGAAAATTTTCAGGAGGCTTGAGTGTTTCTAATGAGTTAAACTAAGCCAAGTTAGATGACAGACTAGTGCTAGGAGTCAACAGATCTGTCAACACCTTCAGGTGTCCCGCACAACCATTTCAGAACTAGTAGGATCAACACAGTTTAAAAGCTGTTTGAAAGCACAGGTCAGTGTTTTGCTTTTATCCCTTGCTCACACACTTTCCATTGCTGAAGTTTTTTCAGAACAAGAAAGCCTTCGAGACAACTTCCAACTTCTACTTCATGTGAAATGAAGCTAATGAACTGGGTGCTGCATCTGGCTCTTTGAAGTAATTGGCCAAACAGCGCAAGTTTTATTTCTGAAAACAAAACCACTGTATAATACTCTAGAATTAGCTTATCCTCTATGGCACTGGCAGCAAAATACTTTAAAAATCATCTGCATTAATAAAACTTTTAAGTTAATACTCTATTTAAAAGTAAACTTTCCAGTGTGAGACTGAAGCTCAGATGCCTGTCTCAAGAAAAGTGCCACAAACAAGAGCAGCAAGTGTATTTGTTAGGCAACCAAAGGATGGCAACATGACACGGTTGTTTATATACAGGCATGCTAGAATAAGAAATATTGGCACATTAACATGAAATCACATTCCTGGTCCCATGAAGATTTTTGCTAGACAGACTTGCTCATTATTTCCAATATAATTCAATTATAAGTCTTGGAGATGATCAGCTTTCAAGTCTATTCTTCAAATGCCATTTTCCCATACATCTCCAAGATCCAACTGCTTTTGTTTTGGTTTTTGTTTGTTTGTTGTGGGGTTTTTTTTAACCTCACCTGATTGTAAACAGTCTCCACTAGGTTCCAAAAATTTCAATGATTGTTACCACCTTTTGGGTCATTCAATACACACAGTGATCTATGCAATTCTACACACTGATGTATACCAAGACATGCTATACAAATACAGCTATGGAGATGGTCTCCAATTAGATCTACTTGACCTCTTTTCCTTGTGTAACATGAAACACTACCTACTGAATAACCTCACAGCTGGTCAGTGTCTAAAATTTCACACTGCTAATGCTAGAACTTCAGAACTAGCTTAGAGACTCTATAGTTTTACTTATTTCAAAACACAGTCACGGTACTTTTATCTCCAGAGTCTGAGGGGAAGAAAAAAAAAAAAAAAGAGTAGACTTTTTTTTTTAAATAAAGGATATTTTTACAAGCAAGTATACTACAATCCTCTCCCATCTCTAACAATTACAAAGTAAAGTATATCTCACTTAAAACTTTCCAGCATTTATTGTATTTTGGATCCTCAACAATTCATGACTATTTTCTTCTGCCATGTTCATTCACTGTACATTCAAACATGCCAAAATATTCACTGTTACCCTTCATAATAATTTCATATGACAGTTATCCTCCAGAAACATTTATGCAACTTTCCCTTCCAGATTAACCCCTTAATTCCTATTTAAATTAGTGTCAGATACTTGAAGTGACTGATCAGATTAAAGTGATGGGCAATTTTGTCCCTTGCTTCAAAACAATGACTCTCTAACTCTAGGCATATAAAGCTTTCAGATTTATTTTTTGTTATCATAGAATCCTAGAACAGCCCAGGTTGGAAGGGACCTTGAGAGATCACCTGGTTCAACCTTTTCTGGGAAAGGGAGCCTAGATGAGATTATCTAGCACCCTGTCTAATCACAGCCAGCCAACAAACAGTCACTTAGCTATTTAAAACAAACCAGCCAACCTTTTCGCTCCTGCCAGGATCTGTCATATTTGTAGTTGCAAGGGCAGGGAGAAGATGCTTCTTACATTAAGATCCAGTGTTAAAATATCAGGAAGCCTGTAATATTCCTGAGTGCACTTAAAGTCTATCTCCAAATGATGGGAAGATATCTCAGCATTTGTAGCAGAAGGCACTCAGCTTCTACTGCCAAACACTAAATTCACTTCAAGTTTACTGACAGCCTGTACAAGCTTGCACTTCAAATAATTTCGCTTTCACTTTTGTCTGTATTTCTAATCATATTAGGTACTTCTGAAGCATTGTGTCCAATAAAATTCTAAAGTTTCAACTAAACATACTCAGGTTTCACCACTGCACTGCAATTATTAATGAAGATACTTAATATCAGGAAGCCAAGGTCTTCCTTCTCAATTCCCTGCAATAGACTTCTTGGTTTAGAGCACTGCAACCACTTGATAATCTTTGATTATTTTACATGAGCTTTAAGAAGAGCTTTCAAAACCTTAGTGCTTTATTAAATCCATCTATTATATTTCTCCTTTTTTTTTTTTAATTTCAAAGCACTTATGTGCATATAACAAACATTCCTTTTAATTTGCAAACTTTCCACATATCCACTATATTAATGTTGATTTTCTTCCTCTCTATATTTGCACTTCTATTTTACTGATGATATCAGTGCAGAGAACCACATGCTTTTCTAACTTTGCAAATCAGTATCGTAGCTGCTTTATTTAAGCCTCCTCCTTTCAGCCATCATATAAGTTGTATAACAAACAGTTTTTCTATCTGTTCTGTTTTCTACAGTATGCTGAATATCAAACTCCCTATTACCACTACTGGCACAGTATTACGTGACTTGTAGAAAAGTGCAATGGATTTACTTGCCTGTTGGATGCTGTCCCCATTAACCATATGAGGTAGAAGTGGCACTTCATTCAGTATAGGTGTAGCTTCTAATGGAGGCGGCTGGTCAGCCATCATGTCTGAAAACCATTCCTTGACAACTGCTCACATTAACCACCTGCTAAAATAAAAAGAGAGTGCCAATATTAGATATGTATCCTCTCCCCCAAATAATTCTCTACTTTGTTTGCCAAACTTGGTACCAATGTTTCAGAAGAATAATAAAGCAGTGCCTTCAGGACATTGTGGGGTTTTTTTTCTTCTCCACAAAACAAACACTTGCACTATACTATTAATTAAATCCTTTAGTGACAGCAATTCAAGAATATTTGAAAAGCCAATAGGAAAATAACATCAGACTTCAACACTCCCCCGAAGATTTTAAAATAAATTGACTTTAATTGGAGACAAAAGTCACTGCAAAACATCCACTTCTAGCTTCATTGCACATTTAAAAACTTGTGCGAACTGAGTCTTAGAAGCATGGAGGGGATCACATGTCATATACCAGAGTTCTTCATAATGGAGTACACCCAAGGAGTCCAATATATTACCCTACTTTTCATTTTTAAGTACTGCATTTAAGCAATAAATATCCTTCTTCCAAAAAAAATATACTCTTTAAATATGCATCACATCTATTCAACTTTACATGACACAAGTGATAAAATCGGTACGTAAGTGATGCAGTCAGACAGTAGCATAATTTACACTTACGCAGCACTTTATTGTTAAAGTTGTTACGATTTCTAAATTGCTTGTACTTTAGAACCTAAGTTTCAGGTCAGATAATTCACATCCTACATGTACATTTCAGTCCCTGTGATGATCAAAAAACCCCTCAAACGGTGCAGTGTCTCTAATGTTGCCACATGTCATCAATACAGAAATCTGACACAGTGAAAACAAAGCTTAAGGCAACACATGAGAGCAGAGTACAAGTTTTTAACTGAGTACCATGGAGAACTGCATATGGAAAAGTGCTGCATAGTTTTGGGCTTCTACTGAATAAGCTGTAACTACAATAAGTCAAAACACAATCCAAATGTTAGTGAATTTTCAGTGCACAGTTAATTCAGCATCCATAAAAAGAACAAGATAACAGGATACAGGAAATGCTGACTTTCCCTTCTCCCTTCCCATTACCTCCTATAAACTCAGACAGAAGAGAAAATGTGGTTAGGAGAGTCCAATTCATTAGAAATAAAAAGCAAAATCGAACCAAAAACCACTTCCCACTCCCAAATCTATGCATGAACCAAGTCAATCTATATACAAATGCCAAATCCTTGTTCAGTTCTCTAAAACCAGTATGGAAATTAGCATTCGGGTGGGGGGGAAACAAAAAAAATTACATTTCTTCTTCTGACATTAACTCATTTTGTTCAGAAACGGTCTGCAATAAAAGTCGAGATTACAAGGATTTCTCCTGTATTATGATTACCAGGTAAAGAGGCTGGTAGCATCCACGGGTAAAAACCACATTCATTCTTGTTTGCAAAAGCATGTAAAAATAACTGATACAATCACATAGCCACAAAATACAGCATAACAAAATACCCAGGACTGCCAAAGAAACCAGCTCATTGTGCATGTCAATTGTTTTCCGGGTCTGCTCCAGGAACAATGTTAAGAGGCCAAATATGACTGCACAGGTGCAAGGGCTAGACACACCCTCCACAGTTTAAATTTGCATCAGGTTTGTCCTAAATATACTTAAGTAACTTAACATGCTATTTATTTCCTGAATAAAATAATCTTCCATCCTATTTGTCAGATTTTGAATTATCTCTGCCAAGGAAACAAACTCACCTGTTTGTATATAACTATTCTACTGAAAAATACCTGCATGGTAACACTGCCAGTCAGCAAGTTAAAATTAAGGCAGAAGTTTCTTCCACTCCACCTCTCCCATTTTTAGAGGTTTAGAAGTTAATCTAAGTCTTAAGAGCTATAATAGCAACTCAGTACACACAGGCAGACTGATTATACTTTATTTTATATATGCGCATTGTCTCAATTTCTTTAATCTAAGAACCTCAAAGACAACAGAAATTAGCACTTCACATAAAGGGGAAAACCCCTTACCAAAAAGCAACTATATCTGCATTCAAATGTTCAACTAACCAAAATAACCAGCTGTAGAAAAACGTGTTCTGAAACAAGTCCAAATACCACCTGCAATTTTAAATAAACGTTCACAGTTTCTATCCTGGTTTCCTACGTTGGCTGAATATAATTCTCTGAGGCTTTGTCTACATTAGCAAGCAGCACAGTATAGTTCATACAAATCAAAGAGCACAGCAACAACATCCACATGGTTTTTAGAATCCTTATTCTATTGCCTAATGACACAGGTAGTATTTATACTTACACACACACACATTCTACTTGCTTAGAGCTGTAACTTCAAATTTTTCAGAGGAAAAATTTAATACTTGGAATAATAGAAAACAAATATTTTTATAAAGTTAATGACAATCTTCAAAAATAGCAAATACAATTTCATGTCTTAGTAGGAATCTCCATATGTTCAGAGAAAATGGGCAGTTTCACCTGACAGAACATTTTACTGCATAGCTAGGCTCAGAGGGCTGCAAGTGGCAGAACACTAACAAGAAAGAGGAACATCCCACTTCATACTGACAGACTTTACAAAACAACAAGTTTTTTTGCTTTTAGAGCACAGCTTCACTCCTTGAAAACACTGATAAGAGAGCTCTTAAAGGTACCACCTCTGCTGGTAAATGAGTACAGGACTTAACCCTTCCCCAGTGCAATAGGTAAAGCTTTTAAAAGGAAATAAAGCACTCCCAGTGAACATGATATCAACAGGTTCTTCTCCCCAAAAGTCCCCAATTCATTCAGGGAAGGTGGTATTTGAGCAAATAAAAAGAGAATTCCTGAGAATTTATTACATACTCAACAGATTTTCCTGAAAAAAACAAAACAAATAAATAGAGATCTATCTTGAAAAGCCATTACCCACACCTTCCTACTGCTAGCCTAGGAACAAGGAATCCAGCCCGGCCTCCCGCCGAAGGCAGTGGCAGGGCAAGCAACACAGCACGGCTGCTGCCAGGGACCCAGGCAGCTGCCTCTGAAGAAAAGGTGGAGGGCAGCCACTGCGTGGGCAGAGTGGGAGATCTGAGGATCCTGAACCCACCTCCGTCCACGGTTCCCATGGTCTGAGCCCTGTGAAGTCTCGCAGCTTCCTTCAAACGCTGCCACCAATGCTGCGCATTCTCTGAACCCTCAGTTTTACCCCCAACCAAGTTAGCTTGGATAGGCAAATCCAGCTGGTGAGCTGAGCGTGGCTCAAAAAGGAGCAACCTACCTACGGGTAGAACTGCATCAAAAAGCTTCTCAGGTCCCCTAAAGCTAGTTTGTTCTCTCATGTGCTTGGTAATAGAGGCTCAGACTGCTATTTTCCAGGGTCTGTTCCTGTCAGCTAGGTGTTTTCAGTTTATCATCACTACTAACTATCCAAGTGGTCAGAGAAAAAGTGTTGGCACTAAGAATTCACAGGCTGCATTGGCATTAAAGATGAGCTAATACACAAAATTTAAAATTCTAGACTAAAAATAAACAAGAAAAATCCCATCTGGAAGCCTTAAAGACTAGACAATTTTTTAGTTTTCAGAGGTGCAATAGAATATACTGAGAATTAGTGAATCATTATATATGAATCAACAGCAGAATTTGTAGAGGTATCTAAGAGCTTTGTCACCATGCAGCGGAGATTTTTGAGTCAGTATGGAATTAAATAGATTAATGTTTAGAAAGGTTACATTTTGCAAGGGTGCTTTCTGGCCTGATTCATTTCTTTACAGTGGTTTCTATTAGACATCAGCTAAAGGTCATTCCCAAACCTTGTTTGAGCTGAAGGATGAATTCAGCCCATACAGCATGATAGCCATTAAAAAAAAAAAGAATTGGGACCAACTACCTCAGAAACAAACCTTCTGAAGCACTGTTCTAGCAAAGCTGAAAGAAGTAGTAGTGGATATCACATTTCTAAGTTAACAGAAATCTACACCGGAAATAGCTTGACCTACTGCTTTAAAAGATTATTTGTTCAAGACACATGCATTTAAAAAGCTGAAATATTTTGTCATTTATTTCACAACATTAAAAAAATTTATTATTTTAAACCAAATAAAACCAGATCATATTTTAAAAATGTACCCCGAGAAGTGTTTCTGAGTAATTCAACACTGTGCTAATGTAATACGGTTAATCATGTTAACCATATTAAAAAGAAGGCAATATTTTCCACTGACAGTCTCACACTACAAAGGCTTCTAAGAAAAACAGAAAATCTTAATGACTAGCCTTCCAGAAAACAATTACAGTATACAGCGGCTGTGCCTGACCTCACTTCCTGACATAGTAAAAATGCCGAGACGCTGGAAGACTGAAACATTGGCCTTCCCTTTTCTCCAGCCCAAGTTCTTCTCAACCAGTGCTGCAGTCATCCTGGACCCTGTCCAGCTCCCGAGGATTCGCACTGAACCCAGTGTTCATTGATTCAGGCCTGCTCCTGTCTGAAGTCAGCGCCTCAGCCGAGAAAGCTGGGCTCTTATTTACATACAAAACGGCTATTATGCTCCCTATACGGAACTAGCAAAGCAAAGATTGCTAATTGAAGTCTGTATGATACCAGATCATCGTACAGTAAGTCTGGAAAACATCATGGATTCTAATGAGACATTCTGAAACTCGAAGCTAAAATTGTCTCAATACAAAGCGAAATAAATATGCAATTCTAGCACGAGGAGGAAGTTACTAACAAATGTTTACTAAAACTACTAGCAACAGTGATTGCTGCATATCAAAGCCTTCTTTAGCCATCTGCCAACATGCAGCTTGGAATAAGGTGCCACATTCAACTCTAATGACACAACAGAGACTTCAAAATTATAACAGTACTATCTCTAAGAAAAAAGTTATGACCACAATAATTTTCTTGTGTAAACACACTGCTTCTATCAAGAGCTTTGGAACAGTCACCAGTAAACACCAACAACACATCAACAATTCTATGGACACAGTTTCTCTTCAGGCAGTACCAATGAATTTGCAACTGTTTACGTGCAAGGCATGTAAAAACAAAGAAAA